TGGGAGTAAAGTTGTGCGCCACCAACTCCTGGCTTCAGGAAACTTCTTTTGTTGATGGTGTATACTGGTGAAACAGGGACTACACACACATGTGTATGGTAGAGATGCTGACCTTGAGCTCTTTGAGTCTGGTTGGAGAGAGAAGACCCTGCTGTGTGTTTTGTGATCCTTGAGGTTTGTCGTCTTTTAGGGCCATGGAGTTACAAGAAGTTGTTTCATGTGGTCCAGGCTCTACCTGAAGATCTCACCCAGAGGGAGAAAAGATATTGGAGTCCTCTTCCTTGGGACATTAGTGTTTCTATTTTCCTAAGCTAGATAATCCCTTACATGGAAAGAACAAAGACTGCCTTCTCTAGCCCCAGTATCCACCTCTGTGGGAAGACTTTATAACATGCTTCACAAATTCAGGACCAATTGCCTGTCTGGCTCAGGACTTACCAATGGGCAGCTCAGCCTGGCCCAGGACTTACCAGTGGGCAGGTCTCAGGTCTCAGTGAGCTGCCAGATGTCCTATGCAAAAGGCCATTTGCCAAGAAGGAATCTATTAGCCTTTAAAACATTTTCTAAAAAAATCACCTGGGGTCTGGAGATGTGTTTGAGTGGTTAAGAATAAATGCCACTCCTGCAGAGGACCTGAGTTCTGTTCCTAGTACCCAGATTGGGTGGTTTACCAGCGCCTGTCACTCCAGCTCTGGGGATCTGATGCCCTCTTGTGGCTCCCAAGAAGTCTTGCACTCATGGGCATATAACCCCACACAGACATACATGCACATTTTCTTAAAAAGTCATCTTTTGCAAAAGAAAATGATAGAGGGACGAGCATAGAAAAAAGTCACAACCACAACACCTCCAAACCAGGAAAAGTATATATAAAATGAGCCTTACTATTGTATTCCTGTAAGTCAGCTATGTGATTTGTGAATGAGGAGACTAGGGTAACAGCAAGGTAGGGAAGGGCTATAATGAGGACTATAATCTGTATTAAAGGGACACTGACTTCTCTTCTCCCCACTCAACTAAACTGGACACATATCAGAAGTGACCACATCCCAGGAACTTGTAACTCCAGAGTACCCCAAAACCACAGCTTGGTATATCAGTGAGTTTATTAGGGTTGCTTCCAGGAGCATGGCAAGAAACTACTTCTAGGAACATGGGTGACTGGAATGCAGTTGCATCACCAAAAAGTCCATGTCAGCCTAGGCGCTGACTGCATCCCTGGAGTTCCCTGTCCACCTGGGAGGCAGCTCCACAGAAGAGTCTCCTTCTCCCAAGTTACTGCTCACTGCTTCTATTGCCTGGGAAAGGGGACTGGTGAGTCTTTTCATTTTCTGTGCTTCTTGAGCCTTTTAAGTTTCACCAACTTCCTTACAATTTTTTTTAGACTTAGATTTATTTTTTATGTGTATGGGTGTTTAGCCTGCATGTATGCCTCTGCACCATGTGTGCAGTGCCCAAGGAGGTAGAAGAGGGTGTTGGACTCTCTGAAACTGAAGTTACATATAGTCATTATCCATAAGGTGGGTTCTGGGAATCGTACCTAGATCCTCTGGAAGAGCAGCCAATGCTTTTGACCGCTTTGCCATTTCTCCAGCTCTTTAGCTTCCTGAGTCTTAAGAACTTCCCCCTTTCCTCTAGGAAGGAATGTTTCTGAGAGAGAGAGAGAGAGAGAGAGAGAGAGAGAGAGAGAGAGAGAGAGAGAGAGAGAGAGAGAGAGAGTGTGTTGGGGAGGATCTGGGAACATTTGGGAGAGAAGAAAAACATGACCCAAATATATTGAATGAACAAAGACATTTTCAATTAAAAAAGAAAAGAACCAACTATGGGAAAGACAGATGATCAAGCTCTTAAGAAAGGGACAGTGACAGCTTCGGGATGGGAGAGGTGTAAGACTGTAAGCCTGTTAGTGGGATGCTGGCTTGGGTTTTATATAGGTCCCCTGGGTCCTTCCCTTTCCCTCATTGGCCCTGTTTAGGTACCTGCCCCTGTGCCTTCCCACAATTTCTCTTTGCAGTGTCTCTGGGAACAAGAAGCTGCCACCTCAAGGGGCCTTCCTTGGCTTTCCCTGCCCACCGTGGTCCCTCTAATGCCTCTTTGAGTCAAGGGCATTTGCAATTTCTATCTCTTCCCAGAGTTCTGTAAGGCTTGCAACGTTTCTAGAAGGTGGTCTCTAAAGATTCTCAGATGCTTAGATGTTCCTCAAATCTGACCAAGCAGCCTGGAGTTCTTGTCAAATTGCAAACAGATCCAGTGCTTCGGAAAGAGACTGAGATTAAATTTCTTTCCATCTCCTGGGGATGTCAAAGCCCCTGCTTCCTGGACAGGGCTTTGTGGAGGGACCAACCACTCTTAGTCATGCTCTGGACCCCTGGGCAACACTCTTGCCTTCCTAATGTCTGTGAATTTTGTGCACCTGCTGTGTGAATTTCTTGGGTGGATGTTTTTAATTGGAGACAACATCAACAACACAAAGAATGTCTCTGACAAGTCCAGATTGATGACTAAGGAGTTTATGAGCTGTAAGTTTAGCAGGGATATTGCATTTACACACAAAAAAGCCAACGCCTCACCTCACCTGTTAGCCTCTATTTCACATGACTCTAAGGCTACTGAATAATCAATGTAAACCTGGACTTAGAGTGCCACCTAGTGTCAGTACATTAGAAGTAACTACAGGGTCAGAGAAGCTACCCCAAATCAAACTCAGAAATCTGTTCTCATGTGCACTGGGCCCTTTTCTGGCTGAGCAAACGTTATTAGGACAGTAGCTGTGCTTCCCTGGGCAAGTCACTCAAGTTGCCTGAAGGTGAGAACTCTTGCAGGACACTGACTACAGGAGGAGTGTACTTCTCCTTTAAACCGTGTGACCATGAGGAAATGACTTAACCTCCCTCTGCCTGAGTTTCCTCAGACTTTTTTTTTGGGGGGGGGGTAAGAATATCATATAGAAGTACTTACAATGGTGTCTGGCACAGAGAAAAACGCAATAAATGATCGTTAGTGGCCTGAAGTACAAAGCTTACTGTGGGGATGTTGGAAGGCCAGTCCCCTCCAGCTTGCAGAGGTGATTCTGTAGATTCTAGTCTAATCATCCAGTCTTTTGCTGCTTTGTTTCTGTGTGACCATGACAGGCTTTTGGTAGGTGGCCTTGGTAAGATTCTTCTATTGTTTCCTCTTAAACATTCCTACCTGGAGGAAGGCGGCACTCTCATATGACTTGGGAAGCACACAAGGAATCCAGGGAGTTAGGGAACTCTGAGGACCCTGCCTGAGTTATAAAGCCCACACAGCCACTGGGGAGAGGAGATGTTTCCTTGGATCTGGTGCCAAGTTGCCCAGGGAGCCCCAAGGATGCAGCTGTTATGAACTGTGTCTCCACGCTGGTGGCAAGTTGCTTTTGAGTCTCCTCTGCAGGTGACCCCAATAAACTCACTGCTTTATTTGGGCAGGATCCTTTCTTTGCTTTGTCATCAATTCCCCGTTTGCAGTGAATAAATGTTTGTTCACAGGTTCTCAAAGAAAGTCATGTCGCAGTCCAGCTACTCAGGAGAGTAGAGTCTGGCTTTTGTTGTGAAGATGTTCTGAGGCTGTGATCAAGTCTGTAACTGACTGAGAGAGACTTTCTTAGCTAATCACGATGGACCTGACTACATCTGTGGAGAGGCAAACAAAGCAGAACTGGTCTCCTCCCAGTAGAAACCTTGCCTCCTGGAGGGAGGACAGAGGCTTATGAGTCTCCGGAAGTCCCCTGTGGGTGGTGGCTCCAGCCTTCCAGACTGCATCCTTGCAGATTGCCTGCCCTGTGGATGGCCTGTTCCACCCATTCAGGACTTGTTCTGCCAGGCTCTGTAATCTCATGTGCCAATGCCTTGCACTAAATCTCAGCTTGTATCCTCAGGGTGGGTGACTGTTCAACCCTTGACAGGGGCCTGGCACACTCAATTAGTTTGCTTCAGAGTCAATACCAGGCACCAGGAGAGTCTGGAAGGAAAGAGGGATGGGGGAGGTGATCACAGCCAGAGGGAGTAGTGAGGGAGGAGAAGGAATGGACTTAGGCCTTGTCTGGGAAGCACTAAGTCTCTGTAAGGAGCTTGCTGATTGGTTAAAGTGCTTGCCGCAACACAACGAGGGGATTGGAGTTTGAATTGTGACTTAGGGTTTCTATTGCTGCAATGAAACACCACGTCCAAAAAGCAAGTTGATGAGGAAAGGGTTTATTTGGCCTCCACTTCCACACCACAGTCCATCATTGAAAGCAGCTAGAACAGGGACACACACAGGACAGGAACCTGGAGGCAGAAGCTAATGCAGAGGCCATGGAGGGGTGCTGCTTACTGGCTTGCTCCACATGGCTTACTCAGCCTGCTTTCCAATAGAACCCAGGGCCACTAACTCAGGGATGGCACCACCCACAACGGGCTGGGTTTTTCCCGCATTAATCATTAATTAAGAAAATGCTCTACAGGGTTGCCTGCAGCCCAAACTTATGAAGGCATTTTCTTAATTGAGGTTTCTTCCTCTCAGGTCACTTTAGCCTGTGTCAAGTTGACATAAAACTAGGCAGAACCTATGTAGATGGTGGGAGGGCATGGTGGCTCACCTGTCGTTCCAGGCTTAGATGGCAGAGAGACACAGGATTCCCAGAGCAGGCTGGCCAGAAGGAAAGCCATATCGGCAAGCTCTGAGTTAGTTGAGAGTACCTGCTGCAGTGAATAAGGGGGAGGGAGGAATGAGCATAGATCTCATTGTTCTAGCTTCCACGTGCACACACATGCATGCATACCCCCACATGCCCCACACATACAGACATGCATATGCACACATGCTCACCACACACACACACACACACACACACACACACACACACACACACACACACACACACACGAAAAGGAAAGGAAAGAAATGCCAGAGTCTGGGCAGCTGGACCTGTAGGCTTCCCTCGACAGAGCTCCACTCCACTTCCCTCTGTTTCCATCACATTTTTCAGAACACCGCAGTTCTCTTTATAGGAGTTATACATTTATTTATGCGAGGCGTGTCTGTCTCAACACTGGAGTCCGGCCACTGGGAGGAGGGGATGGATTTGGCACAGTAAGAACTCAGTCTTTATCAGTGGGACAAAGGAATAACCATTAGGCCTCCATGACCTGTCTCAGCGCTGAGGTACTCTTCAGTGCTGGAGGAGGTCCGCTTGTGGGGTTTCTCTCAATGTTCCTGGGGTTCCAGTGGGGCTAGAGTCTCAGACTGGAGGAGAGCTACGGTGGGCGCTGGGCACAAGAGGTGATCTTCTTCCAGCTCTCAGGATCCCAGGAATCAGGTGGGACAGGGCAGAGGACTCATGGCCGGGGAGACAATAACATCAGACATGGGGTCCAGCCTCATGTCCATCAAAGCCACCTTCTGGGTAACACTCAGTGAGCCTAGACCACCCATCCCGGCCTTGGTTTATCCTGTGGCATGAGGTTAACTGAGATGATTCACAAAGATTCTTCTAACATAGCAGTTTGATGACATTCAAAGCAGAGTTCCAAGTTCAAGGGCCATGGGAACTGTAGCTGAAGTCAGAGTTCATCTCTATGTTTTTTTTTTTCCTGCAAACTGAGTAAGGTTAAGAGATCCACTTTGCTTGTTTCCCAGCTAGGAAAACCCTCTGCCAACTGAGCTACAAACGCTTACCATGCACATGTAATAATACATTTCTTTAAATGGACCCGTGTTGTTACAATTCAACTGATGTTTAGAATCAAATAGGGTATGGGGGTTTAGAATCAAACTTGGTGGTTCCTTCAAGTCAATAGCAAGGACTGAGTGTTTTCTGGATCCACAATCCCAGAGGGGTCTCAGTGAAAAATCAGGACTGATCTGTGCTAAACCCTTGCTGTGTGGGAGACAGGCTGCTGGGAGGACAGAGCTCCCCCGAGCCAAGGGAGCTGATGTTGCAGGTATTCCTTTGAAAGTACTGGTCTGTCCTTCTCACTGAGATGTCCCTTCTGGAGTGCCAGAGCCACGCTGGTGCCACCTTGTGCGTCATCAGTGGAGCAGGACTTCAGTTTGGAGCTCCATTAGCGTTTACTAGTGAGCATGCTTAGAGGATTCTCAACTTCCTGGGGCTCGTGTGAAGTGGGGATTGATGGAGAGCATCGGTGAGGCCAGCCGTGGTCCAGAGCTGGGGGCCTAGGAAAAACTCAGAGCAAGCTCTGCCCATATGAGAAGAGCAGGAGGTCCAGGTTAGGAAGGGCAGGGGTAATGGCTCAGGCAGGGTGCGCTTGTGTGTTGGGCAATATCAGGGTTCCTTAGGAAGCCTGCAGCAGAGTGAGCGGCAGGTGAGGTCATGGCAGAGAGGTCAAGAATCTGGTGATGTTCAGTTTCACCATGTTTGTTATTCTGGGGGCTTACTTTGGTTATTAAAGTGTTTATGGCTAAAAAGAGACCACTTAAAATAATATAAGAAACAAATCAATTTAAAGAAACCAAAGGAACCCAGTGTGACCCACAACTAAGCCAGCCCAACCAATGATTTCCTATGAGCACTGAAGGTTGTGAGGGGAGGAAGGCGGGTCCTTCCCTTAGCTTGCCTACCAGCATGACTAGGTTTCAAATTCCCAGGCCAAGGTCTCATCTTGAACTCCGTTTCTGATCTCAGGTTCCTGGGCTTACGGGAGCCTCCAGGATCACGGCCATCACTTCCCCTCAATGTTTATAGATGGAGACAAGGAGGTCCCAGAAACAGAGACCTTGTATGGTTTTTGATTTGATGTCTTTCTGACTGTCCCCAAATCGCATGATTCATGATTACCCTGGAAATAGCCTATGACATCCATCAGGCTATGGGCAGCCATTGTACACCCACAGTGGGTAGGAGGCTGGGTGTTGTGGGATACTCTGTGAAAATGTATTGTTGTGACTGGCGTAATAAAAGCTGAATGGCCGGTAGTTAGGCAGGCGGTATAGGTGGGGCTTCCGGGCAGAGAGAACTCTGGGAAGAAGGTGGAGTCATGAGGCAGATGCAGAGAAAGCAGTATGGGCAGTATGGAGAGATGAGGTAACAAGCCGCATGACAGAACGTAAATTAAAATAAGTGGGTTAGTTTAAGTTAAAAGAGCTAGTGGTACAAGCCTAAGCTAAAGCTGAGCTTTCATAATTAGTAATTGGTTTCTGTGTTGTTTGTGAACTGGTGGCCCAAAGGAAAGTCTCACGACATTGGTGTAGGATGGCTCACCCAAGAGCTACCCTGGAGGCTGACAAGGAGGGCATCTGGTCCTACCCTGATTCAACAGAGGAGGCTCTGGCCAGCTGAGTCAGACTCAAGTTATCTGGGCTAGGGTGGGTGGCATAGGGGAAGGGACCGACACCTGTTCCTAGGTGGGCTGCTTTAACAATAGCGCTGTCTGTCCTTCCCCCAGGGGAAGTGGCTCCTGTCTGTGCTAGGGAGAAGAGACGGTGGTGCCCAGGCTGAGAACCCCCTCACCTCTTAATTTGCTCATTTGTGTGTTACCTTGGACCACGGCTTCATAGGATGGTGGCTCCATTGACAGACCTTAAAGTTCCACAGGTGTGTCGGGAACGAGAGGGGTATCATCCTGCAAATGAGAAATTACTGTTCCCATTGGCCCAGGACATGCATGATCAGCTATTTATAAAATGTGTCTTGGCAGAGTCACTTTTGAAGTCACAAGGTCCATATGTGGCTTGAGAGAACTTCCAGAGACTTATGTGTGACCGTCTCTCCAACACGGATCGAGAAAGATCTACAGGGGCTAGATGGTGGGATCTGACTTCTAGTTCCACCTCCAGTGAACTGTGGGCAAGCAGCTCACACAGCTGGGATTCCCAGCGTGGCCTGGGCTGGGTCTAGCTTTAGGAGGTTGGTGTGATTTCTCTAAGTCTCAGATTACTTTCTGTATAGTGGAAAGAACATACCTGCCTGAAAGTGTGATGAGAAAATGAAGTAAAGCTATGTTTATATGTGCCACTATGGCTCATAGCTATATTAACCGTGTGGAGATTCATACAGTGTTCCACAGAGGTCCCGATATCTTGTAAGTGCCCAGTTTGTGACCCTTGCCTGCTGCCTGTCCATTCTGAGCTCTCTGCTGCCCAACATCCCCATGTCCCGTGGGTTTGTCTTCAGTAGGCCTCACCTCTACACGAAGGCGTTCTATCTTACAGGCTGTGATGGCTGTGGGCCCTGTCAGGAAGATCTCCAGGAAGGTGCAGCAGAACACAGTCAGCTCCAGTCTCTGGATATAGACCTGCAGGGAGTGACAGGGAGATGGGACAGGACTTCCTTGGTACTTGCCTGTCATCTGGGTTTGCCGGGGCAGATGGACAGCAGAAGCAGCAGGGCTCTGGCTCCCCAGGAGGGTGGGGAGGGACTCTGAGGGATTGGGGCTGTTTCCATCCTTCCTCATACCTAGTGCCTAGCACATAGGGATGAGTGGTTTCCCGAAGTATGAGGACCAGAGAGTTTGTCAAGACCCTGGGAGAACTGGAAGTGGCTCTAAGGGTGATCTGGACAATTCTACCGAGCTGGTGGGGTTGTCTGGGCCCAGAGAGAAAGTGTTTTATAGTGGGGTGAGAGAAGGGTGAGTTGACATTTATTAGGGAAACGTGTGTGCATGTACTGTGTGTCGCCATGGAGCCTGGCCAGGAGGCACCTAACTTAGAGTGGCGGTGCCTCCTCCTGTGTATAGGCAGCCATGATACAGTGAAAGACCACTGGACTCACTGTTGAAAGCTTGAACTTCCTTCCACTGCTCCCCAGACTTGCTTCTAGACTTCTGGACACTAATTTATCCTTTGTGAACCTCAGTGTTCACTGCCATGGGGGTAGCAGAGTGGTTTGAGCCAGTTCTGCAAAGCTGTTGGGAAAAAGGAGCCTTAGCTGTGGAATCAGCAGTTATAAGGTGTGGTCCTGCAGTCAACTTGCTGCTCAGTACCTCGAGGAGGTTTCCCCTCTCTAGGCGTCAGTTTTCCCATGTGTAAAAGCAGGGCTGGGCATGGTGACTCAAAGCATGGTCCGGTTTCCCAATGTGGACTCATGAGAGGGTCAGCCATGCTGCTTCCACTGGAGGGGTGTGTACAAATGGACAGTGCCTGGTTCCAGGACAGGCTTTCTGAGACATGATTGTTTCTGCTCAGGCAAGCTCAAGGCTGTTCCCCCTGGGAGTCAGAGGACTCAGGAGGGGAGGGGAACTCACTGTGCTGTTGGGGTATGGTCTCCAGATGGGCCATGGAAAAGGACTCTCCAGAAAGAGGTCCTTGGCCATGACAAAGAGGCCAGCCAGTGCACAGAAGAAGCTGATGACATTTGCTGCCACACACAGAATCTTCTGCAAGCAGAGATGAAATGTTAGAGCTTAGCGATCCAGCTCAAGCTTCCTCCTTCCAGGAACTTGGTCTGTGACACCCTCCCCCTACACCTGGGGACTCTGCCTGTCTTTGAGCTCAAGGCTGCTAATTTGCATACCAAGCTCTGGGCTCCTGATTGCTGGGAAGGCCCTGGCATGTTCATCCTCTAAGGACACACTGGAAGGACCCAAGGGTTGCTGCTGGTGCATGGGACTTACAGTAAAGAAGAATGCATCATGACACACTCCCCAACAATCATCTTACATCAAGCAAGCCAACTGTCTGAGTCTAACACCCAGAGGACCCCACAGGGAAGAGCAGGAAGAACCTGCAGGTGTCCTGCCCCTTCATAGCCCATAGTCTTTCCTCCTTTCCATCCATCTATCCTGCCGGACTCCTGAAATAGGCCCCATCCTGTCATGCAGGTCTCTTCCAGGTATCTCCTGCCTCTGCCGGGTCACCACCCCCCAGAAGCTCAGTGACATGGTAGGACTTACACTCCAGAACAAACCCTTGGGCTGCTGTGAGGAGACAGTGTGGGATGACTCTCCAAGATCAGACTTGATGGGGATACAAGGGAGCTAAGAGAGGGTGTGGACTGGGGAAGGTGTGGAGCTGAGGGGCTGTCTAGAAGCAGCCCTAAGATGCGGGGAAGGGGTGCAGAGCCAAGTGGTCCTCAGCTGCTGGCTTAGGGACTGGATGGCCACGTAATGAGTGAAGTCAAAACTTGATAGATTTGCCCTTGCTCCAGCAAATAAGGCCCATCCATGTCCATGTAGGCAGCACTAATTAAAACACAGTGGATTCTAAACACAAAACCCAAACAGCAAAAACAAAGGAAGACAGGAAAGAAGGAGGGGACCTTTTAGGGAGGAAGAAAGGGTTTCATGGGAGGGAGAAGTCATAGGAGAGTACAAAATGGTGGGGGAGATATGATCAAAGTACATAAAGCAGATGCATGAAACTGTGAAAGAATAAATAAATTAAAAAGACCCTTGGTAGATTTGGAAGGAAGCTGTGATGGTTAGTCTTCATTGTTAACTTGAGTAGAGACATACTTTTGTGCATTTCTCTGAGGGTGTTCTGGAGAGTTTTAACTGATGAGGGGTAGCACTGAAGGTGAGTAGCGCCAACCCACGGGTGCAGGAGGGATGCCCAGACTGAATAATAAGGAATCAGATGCGCACCAGCATTTTTCTCTCTGTCTTCCGATCCACTCAGATGTAAGCAAGCAGCCGCCCGCTTCCACTGCCTCAGTGGACTGTGCCCTCTTAAACCAAAGTCACTTTCTATCAGGTATCTTGTCACACACAGAGAAAAGCAACTAACAGAGGAGCTGAGTCTGGTCTAGATGGAGGGATGGGTCCCTGGAGCCATTCCTGAGAGGCCAGGAGCTCTGGCTGGGGCTCCCCTTCTTCCCTGTCAAATCTAGTCAGTTGTCTGCACCTGGAGCCTCTCAGATGACCTCTTCCGTTCTGAAGAAGTGCTTGCTCTTGGCCAGTCCTGCTGGTCATCCCTGTACACAGATGCCTTTGTCCTTCCCCCTAGCTTTGAGAGAAAGATCTCAAGGTGCCAACTCACCAGAGAGGTCTTGGGAAATGCCACTGTTGTCATGGTCAAGATCCCTGAAATGAGAAACTGCAGACCAGGTGTGAAGGTCAAAGGAGAGAGCTGAGGAGCTTCCAAACCCACAAAGCCACCTTTACTCTCTGAGCAATCAAACCCCTGTGACTGGTGGGGCAGAGAACACCACTTTGCAGATGAAGCAAGCCTGCTCCAGGTTCTGCTCTCAACATGCTCACTCATGGAGGACACAGACCTCCAGACCTCATGCAGACCCACAGCTGGGGTCACGGTAACCTCTCCTCCCTCACCTTTCCCCACTCTTGGGAGGACATTGCTCTTGGCTCTCAGGTCTAGGGTATTTTGGATCTGTCTTTCTCATGTATGCTGAGTCCTCGCCATTGCCCATCCTGGGGAGCACAGGGTGACAGGCACTTCATGTGTAGAAAGCCCTGTCTCTATGGTGGGAGTGCCAAGCTGGGACAGTGGTGATGGAGGTCTGAGGGGAAACTGGAGATGGGGTGAAAACATTTGCCCAAGAGGACACTATGGAGCTGGGGCTAAGTGTGAAGGCAGTTTTCAGGGCCAGGACAGAGGCCCTGGAGTCCTGGAGGGGCATGGAGTCTCTAGGGAAACAGTGTGTGTGTATGTGTGAGTCTCCTATTGTCTCTCATCCTGGCTGACATCCCAAGGACAGAGCTGTGGATCACAACTGCGTGTGGCTGTAGAAACAGCCTGATAGGGATGGAGGGCACTAGGGTTGCTTTGGCTACAGAGGTAGCCTGGGTGCTCAGAAGCCTTGTGAACCTACCCATACTGACTCTTCTGCTTGTTCAACATACATGCTTCAATTAAAGGAGAGTCAACGGGGCCCACTAGCGACAGGTGCCCCAGGAAGCAGGTATGTGTAGTGTAACTGAGGGAACAGAGCCGAGAGAGGGAAGGTGGAGACAGGGTGGGCTTATGCCTCCAGGGCCAGGGTCTCCCAGGGCCCCGTGTACCTCTGTATCCACTGATTTGGGCGCCTACTTACAGAGACAGCGCCCCAGACTGGATACCAGCACTTCAGCACCACCAAGTGAAGGTTTTTAACTGTGGAGATCAGGTAACTGCCAAAGGCCAGGTGTGCGAAAGCAATGGTGATGTGAAAACCCTGGGTGGGAAACCAGAAGTGACTAAAGTGAGGTGGCAGACGGCTGGACCTGCATGGGCGTCAGCGCCTGGACCTACTGGTGGTGGTGAATTCCTTTCCACACTTCTCTGTGTCCTGGTCATCAAGGAGGGACCCCTCCTCAGCGCCTGCTGCAGTGACAGATTTCAAAACCCCGTCCTGCTCTGGCTCTGTAGGGCTGGCATCCTGGGCCCTGCTCACATCCCACAAAGCACCAGCCTCCCCTTGGGTTTGTTTTGATTTTAGGATGAGTGCAAACGGAAGCTGGAGGCTCCCCCTCAACCTCCTCCCTGGGAGTCACCTTCCTACTCACCCCTAACTTCTGCAGAAGGCCACTTCTCTCCTGGGGCTTCTCAAGGTGCCCATCTGGAGCCCGATGCTGGGGTTGGGCCACTTTCTGCACAGGCTGGGCAGGTCCTAGGCCCTGCCGCTGAGAGCCTTTCTCATTGCCACTGCTGGAAATCACCGCGGGGGCTTGTGCAGCCATTGGCTGTGCACCAAGAAGAAGGTCTTGTCAGAGTTCAGCTTGTGTCTGAGGACGGAACGCGACTCTCACTGTCACCTCTGCCCCCTGGAAAGTGGAGGCCTTGTCCAGTAGCTTTTGACCTTGATTTATTTACAGATGGTAAAGTAAGGCTTTTGTTTAGGGGTGGGGAAACACACACATATAATAAGCACACACAGAAAAAGGCCCTCCACAAAGCCCAGTGGGGACTCAGAAAGTGGAAGCCCATCCATTTTGATTTAAACTGAAGTAATCTAGAACCTGGAGTGGAGAATAGCTGCTATTCTCAGCTTCTCTGGAGTTGCAGGGAAATGAAGACCAGATGAACTTCATACCCACTATAAGAGAGTGTTGTGTCATATTTTGATCACATTCTGACAATAAAGTTTGCTTTGAATCCGAGGGTGGAGCTAGCCACTAGCTGACCAAAATTAGTCATGGAGGCTTTGGAGGACTGAGGACAGATAGACAGGAAGTAGTAGGGTGGGGCTTAGCGAGGGTCTCTGCCCTTTAGGATGGAAGAACAAAAGAGATCGGAAGTCACTGCTTTTCTGCCTCTTCTCTGACCATTCAGGTTCTTACCCCGATATCTGACTCCGGAGTTTTTATTGATAAAGAATAACTAGATAAACACTTCAAGAGAGCTCCTACTGGCTACACTGCAGGCTGCCAGGAGCTAGGGGTCAGACGCCTGGCTTGTGTAGGCATTTTGTGAACAGTCCCCATTTTGTGGCTTAGAATGAGACAACTGAAGGTGATGGGACCCAAACCGTGCCTCTGTCTTTTGGGTTTGGAGAAATGGGGGAGAGAAGAAGGTGTGGTGGTTTGTCTAGGAATGGCCCCCAGAGACGCATGTGCTTGGATGCTTGGCCCATCTGGAGTGGCACTATTAGGATGTGGCCTTGTTGGAGGAAGTGTGTCCCTATGGGGGTGGGCTTTATGCTCAAGCTATGCCCAGTGAGGCTCACAGTCGGTCTCCTGCTGCCGCAGATCCAGATGTAGATCTTGTCTCCTTCTCCCACAGCATGTCTGCCTGCATGCTGCCATGCCTCCTGCCGTGACGATAATGAACTAAACCTCTGAAACCATAAGCCAGCCCAATGTTTTCCTTTATAAGGGTTACTGGGGTCGTGATATCTCTTCACAGCAGTAGAAGCTCAAAGACAGAGAGTACTCTGAGTCCACATGGAGCCAGTGAATCAGTATTTAACCCTGTCCACAACAGCAACCTTCATGTACCCTTTCTCTGTTCCAAGCACTGATACAACATCTGAAGGTGTCTGCATCCCAGTCCTGTGAGGGAAACGCTGTCCTCACCCTAACTTGGCAGATAAGGCTCAGAGAAGTTAAGTCATATGCCTAAGGTTGCACAGACAATAAATGGGATTGGAAGCATAGTAGGCTGACCCAGAGCCCGTGGACTTAAAGCCTTCCACAGTGGCCATATGTCTGCTGTGTCCTGAGATAACAAGCGACTGACATTTATGTCAGTTCTGCAAATCTGAACAATGGTCCTCAGCTTGGGGCTTTTGTGATGAGAGCTTTGCTCCCCATTGAGCCATCTAGCACCTCTGTTGTATTCTTTATTATGAAAAAAGGGATGAAGTTTGATTTGTGAATTCAGAGGATCCTTTTTGAATTCATAAAAATTTCTGTGCTTCCATGGAGGTATGGGGATTGCTTTCTTTTCACAGAGGGGGAAGGAACCTTGGGAGGTGGGTGAGGGCAGGGAAGGTCCAGGTGGTGGCCCTGATGCCAGAACCATTTGTGGGGTTTTATAGGCTGACCCCCTGAAGCTCCAGGACATCAGCACCATTACATAGAAGAGGAGGCCAAGGTTCAGAGAGGTCTAGTGCCTTGGCTGTAGTCACATGGTAGGAAGTACCTGGGATTAAAGTTACTTGTGACCTGACCTCGTCACCCCATGTTCTTGGCCTGGGTTGCTGGTGGCAGCCTCTGGTTGATATCTCCATTATCCTGCAGGGACAGACCCCAGTTTAGTGGGGAGGCTGAGTGACACTGAGCCCAGAGAGATGGCTGTGTGGCTCATTTCTGTGAGCTGATCCTGGAGTGTCTGCAGTTCTGAAGCAGCTATGACTTCAGATGAAGCTTCTTAGGAGAAGAGATGGGATGAACTGTGGCGTCCAGGGCTGGTGACTGTGGTGGTCTGAAAGAAAATGACGCCCATAGGGAGTGGCACTATTAGGAGGTGAGCCTTTGTTGGAGTAGGTGTGGTCTTGTTGGAGGAAGTGTGTCACTGTGGGAGTGGGCTTTGAGGTCTCCTTTGCTCCAGGTATGCTGAGTATGACACACAGTTGCTTCTGCTGGCTGAAGATCAAGATGTAGAACTCTCAGCTCCTTCTCCAGCACCATGTCTGCCTGCATGCCACCACATCCCACCATGATGATAATGGACTAAACCTCTGAAACTGTAAGCCAGCCACCCCAGTTAAATGTTTTCCTTTAGAAGAACTGCCATAGTCACCGTGTGTCTTCACAGCAAAGGAACCCTAACTAAGACAGTGACTATATGGACACTGGGGATGAGAGGTGTATCCACCTGGACACTTGCTTGTGGGAGCTGTGGCAGTGGAAATGGTTTGGATATCCAGTAAGGAATTAAACTCAAGAGGACAGAGTATCCTTTCCCAAAGCATATCCCATGGACCACTGGTCCTAATGGATCTGCCTTAAAGGGGTCCATGGTTAAATAAGTTTAGGAAACCTAACAAGTCACCTTCTTCTTACTATTTCAAGGCTCCGAGGACTCCTGCAGGGATGCTCCCTGCTTTGATACTAAGGACATTTTCTATATTTCATTTCTGTAGGGTCTTCCTTAGAGTTGATATTCAGTGGGCCTGCTTTGGGTTAAATAACAAACTTCCAAACCTCTGGTTCTAGGTTTTTGGGTATCTGTTCCCTCCTGTTGCTGTTTTCATGGGTGTGTATCACAGTGGGACTGGGGACAGAGGGTTGGGCTCTGACCTCAAGACTTACTTCCAACTTCAAATTGGAATGGAGAAGCACTAAGGGGAACTTTGTGTACTCTTGACGGGGAGGGGCCAGATGTGGCAGACCTTAGACACCAGAGGGGAAGGGTTGTGGACTATGAAGTCCCTTGACACTTTCTAAGATGAAGTGTATGATGGCAGCAGGCTGTTGCCTATGGTGACTCCATCCTGCTGTGTCTTTTTACCGTTTTCATGTCCAGGCTCTAGAATTCACTCTCATTCCAGAATCATGTCCTTAAGATAAGGGCCTTGCCATGAAGAGGTCCTCATCACTGCTCTACAAAACACAGGCTGCTGACTAAGCCATGTCCGAAAGACAAGGACCACACAACTAGGAGATCACCATCACTGTTCTGATTTCTGCCTTCCACCTGTAGTTCCTAACCTGACCTTCTAGTGAAATCCCCCACTTGCCTAGACCTGAACTTGAGACCTTAGCCCGTCCCCTCTCCCAGGTGTCTCAGTCACTGTTCTATTACTGTGAAGAGACACCATGACAAAAGTAATTCCTATAAGGGAAAGCATTAGTCAGGGGCCTGCTTATAGTTTCAGAGGTTAGTCCATTGTCATCATGGCACGGAGCACGATGGCACACATGACACTGGAGAAGTAGCTGAAAGCTTTACATCCTGATCCTGGGGGGGGAGAGAGAGAGAGAGAGAGAGAGAGAGAGAGAGAGAGAGAGAGAGAGAGAGAGAGAGAGAGAGAGAGAGAGAGAGAGAGAGAGAGAGGGTCTGGCATGGGTTTTTGAACCTTCAAAGCCCACCCTCAGTGACATAGCTCCTCCAACAAAGCTACACCTCCTAATCCTTTTAAATAGTGCCACTCTTGATGATTGAACATTCAAATATATGAGTCTATTGAAGGGAAATTTTTATTCAAACCACCACATTCTGCTCTCTGGCCAACATAGGCTTATAGCTATATCATAATACAAATGCATTTGGTCTAACTTCGAAAGTCCCCACAGTTTTTCACAGTTTCAACACTGTTTAAAAGTCCAACGTTCAAAGTCTCTTCTAAGACTCATAGCAATCTCTAAACTGTAATCCCTATAGAACCGAGATCAAGACACAGTTCACATGCTTCCAACATACAATGGCACAGAATATACATTGTCATTCCAGAAGGGAGGAAAAAGAGCATAGTGAGGAAATAATGGACCAAAACAAGACCGAAAACCAGCAGGCAAACTCCAAAGTCCGCATCTTCACATCTGATGTTAAAACGCTCTTCAGATCTCCAACTCCTTTCATCTTTGTTGACTGCAACCTACTTCTCTCGCTCGTGCTGGTTCCACACCCAGTCTGCAACTTTTCTTGGTAGGTACCCCATGACTCTCGAATCTCCACCTTGAGGTCTCCAAGGCTTTACTCAATGGCGTGTCTGGGCATCCATGTGGGGACACCCCTGACACATACTTGGCCACATTAGTGGCTTCTCTGAGCCATGGAGGAAGGTTCCACAATCCTCTTCCTGTGTCCTTGATTCTAAAGCCAGAATCACGTGGCCAAAACTCTCAAGTTCTGCTGCTTGATGGGACTGGAACTTGGCCCCCTTGTTCAGTTATGTTTGCGTCAGCTTTATATTGTTGTTGGTCTCTTTTACTGCTTAAGCGTTTCTTTAATTCCTTCTCAAAAGCTGGAAGCTTAGCTTGGTGGGGTCACTATTTCCTATATTCTATTTAGTTTCGGGATTTTCTTTAAACCTTTTTTATCTCCTTGAGTACTGGACTTGGCTCCAACATCACTTATCCTAGTGTTCCTTTTCTTCTCACACTGTACATTTGTGTTTTTCTTTGTCCAATGTACTCTTTTCCATTATAGACCCACATAAAAGTGATTGCTAATAACCACACGACATAGCCAACACTGGGCTGTCTTGGAATCATCTCTGCCAACACCTTTAATCCAAAACTCTTTGGTTTAGCTCCAGGCAGAGTTTTTAGCACAAGGGCAGAAAGCAGTCACATTCTTTGCTAAAATATCACAAGAACGGTGTCTAGGCCACTTATTACCATATTCTTCCCTTCTGAAACTTCTTGAATCAGCTCTCATAATCTACATTGCTCTCAGCACCTCTGTCTTCCATGCTTCTGTTACTATGGCCCATGGAACCCCATTTAAAGTGTTCAACCGCTGGGCGTTGGTGGCGCACGCCTTTAATCCCAGCACTTGGGAGGCAGAGGCAGGCGGAGCTCTGTGAGTTCGAGGCCATCCTGGTACAAAGTGAGTTCCAGGACAGCCTCCAAAACAATACAGAGAAACCCTGTCTCGAAAAAAAAAAGTGTTCAATCATTTTTCTAGTTCAAAGTCCCAAAGTCTATATTTCTTCAACAGTATGGTTAGGCCTGTGACAGTAAGATTCCAGTTCTCTGTACTAGCTTTTAGTTTAGTTACTGCTCTGTTGCTGTGAAGAGGCATCATGACAAAGGTAACTCTTAGCAAAAGCATATAATTGGCAGCTTGCTTATAGTTTCAGAGTTTACTTCATTATTGTCATGGCGGGGAGCATGATGGCATGGGCTTTTGAAACCTCAAAGTCCACCCACAGTGACACACTTCCTCCAACAAGGCCACACCTCCTAATCCTTCCAATCCTTTCAAATAGTGCCACTCCCTGGTGACGAAGCATGAAAATATATGAGCCTATCAGGGCCATTCTTATTCAGACCACCACACCAGGCTGCTAGCCTCCCCAATAGTGCCTCTCTTTCCTCCCACGCCAACCCTTCCCTCACAGGTTTCTCTAGGAGTCCATCTTTTAAAGCTGTTGTTGGCTACAAGCCTCTAGAATGCTTGTGCCCTGCTGCCTGGTCCATCTTGCCTCCAGGACTCGGGCAGAACTGCCTTGGGTATAAAGGTGGACGGGCAGAATGAGGGAAAATTACTTTACTTGTCCCCTTTCCCAGGCTCCTTAGAGAGCTGAGGACCCACAGACATATCTGTCTAGTATGTCAGGGTCTTGGTGATTTGTACTACCTTGTACTGTCTGGACCCTGCAAACATCCTCCTTTTCTTTAGCCAGCTGGGAGGACCCTTCAGTTCTTCAGTGGGTCAGAACATGAACTTCTAAGCTGGCAATCCAGGCCCACCCCTGGCTCTACTCCTGCATCTCAGTGTCTAAGTCTGTTTCTATGGGCACACCGGCATTCCCGTGTGCCTGCTCAAGGGTGGGCTGTGAGGATTACGTGGTGCCAGGTGCAGAGGCTGGAATTTAGCAATAAAAGCCAGTGATACCATCAAGTTGCCCGACAGCTAGAATGTCATCTGACCTTTGTCTTGTTCTCTGCTCAGTCAGATCCACTCTAATTACCAGGAGTAGGAAGTTCATTGCCTCCATCTGATCTGTGCTCTGAGCAGGGAGAGGAGTCAGCTAAGGGCTCCTGCTGGCTGGGAAGGCTGTGGAGAGGGGAGAGTATCTGGTCTGTGGAGAAAGTGAACTGGGAGCCCACACAGACCTTCAGGGTTTGTCTGCAGAGCGATGAGGGGACACCTGGGAATATGTGTTGGATGGGTAAGATCTATCCATGGGAGGTCTGGGTTGGGAGGTTGAGAAAATCTTGATATGTATGTGACCCTAATTAGACAGTACAGAAGAAGCCAAGAGAACAGGGAGGGCAGTGTTTACACAGACATATGTACGCATATATATATGTGTATGTAATGTGTGTGCATATATGTGCATGTGTGTATGGCATGCCAGGCAGAGAAAGGAACTGAGAGGTATGGAGTCCTGCGACAGAGAAGCTGCTGGCAGCCACCCTAAGAAGATGTGGTGTTTAGTTCCGTTAGTTCAGCCCAGGCATGTACAAAACAACCTTTCCCAGTATCTAGTCTGGGAGCTAGATTCTTGGTGTAAAGCGTGGTTCTGGGAAAGTGGACTTCCACAAGTCCCTTCCTCTCTCTGCTTTCTCAAGCCTGTCTCTCTGTGTGCTTGAGGTTAGAAGAATTAGAAGGGAAGAGGTGACACTTCTCTCAGCTCCCAGGATCTCCAACTGGCAGCTGGCTGGCTCAGTAGCAGATTCCTCCTTGGAGAGACTCTGATGGCAATCCTGTTTTCCAGGGTGCCATAGCATGGAACCTGGGTTCTCCAGCTACTGCCTCTGTTGCTTCATAAACAGCACCCCTGCTCCCTTCTGGGGTGAGGTGTTAAGTTATAGCCACTCACCTCCAGCTGGCAACTATGGACTGACTAGCCCAAGAGGCTGGTTTCCTGCTGAGGTTGAATCCCATGTGAGGCCCTGAAGACCCCTTGTTTGTTTCTGCTGTGGAGGGGGGTACTCACCCGTACCTGGAACCTCTGCTGTGGGCTTCGGCCTTGCCTTACCATCTAGAGCTGCCTCAGCAGAGCCAGAGGAGGAAATCAGAACATCTTAACAGCTTTAGACTTTGGATCTTTTCCTTCGAGGGACCGCCCCTTGCTCAAGCTCCCAGCTCAAGAGAGCTGTGTGTGGGGACCAGAACCTTTAAAACTGTGTTGCTTCCAAACCAGAGCAGCTGAAAATCGGAATCTTCTTCCTTATGTCTCCTTTCGACAGTTAATGTTGGATGTTGACAGTTCAGACAGTTTGTGGAGCAGAACTGATGGAAGGCATCTGTCATGTTGGTGGAGTCAGTGGTTGAGTGATTTGATTATTAGAAATTTCAATTTTTTTCTATGTGTGCATTTGATGTGTGTATGTGTGTGTGTGGGCACCCTTGCTGTGTGTGTGTGAGTGTGTAGGTCAGAGGACAGCTTTGACTTTGTGAAATTTATTCTCTTTACCTTTACATGGATGCCAAGGACTGAACTGATGTTGCCAGGTTGTGAAGTAACTTTAGCAGCTGAGTCATATTGCTGCCCCTGAGAGAATCTTTTTAATGTTTTGAAAGCCCAAGTATCCACACAGTAGAGAGATTAGCATTATGACCCCCCCCACCGTGTCCCTCTTGGTTGACCTTGATCTCTGGTGGTAAGCAAGACGCAGATATATGGTCATCTTTGTAAGCATGTTTGTGTTTACCTTTAAAAGCTATGGATTTGAAAACTGTGGTCATGGGGCCACAAGTAACAGGACACCCCGAGAATGGAGTCCAGCTGCCACCAAACTTGTAGCTTGTGGGACTCAAAGAGGAGAACCCATCAAAGGCATGTCTGAATCTTGACCAGGATGTGGTGAGGCAATCAATGTGTGTGGCTTCAGTCTATCCAGGCTGTAGCAACACCTGTGCTTTTTCTGTTTATCTTTTTTCCAGTTTTTATAAATAGAGGTAATAACACACATGAAAGTGCACGAAGCATCCCAGTTTGGGTTAATTTGTGTGTATAAGTGTGTGGCTTATTTGTGTGTACATACCTCTCTGTGTATGTGCATTCATGGGTGTGTGTGGTATATGTTTGTGTGAATGTAGAAGTATATACACACCTATATGTTGAAGCCAGAGGTCAATGTTGGGTATCTTCTTGCAATTGTTCTCCAACTGTGTGTGTGTGTGTGTGTGTGTGTGTGTGTGTGTGTGTTCAAGAAAGTTGAGTTTTATTGATGATGCCCCAAAGTGAAATTTATCTAGTTATCCATCAATAGGTAAATCAATTAAAGTGATAGAATAAAACAAAAATGTTTATAAAACTGTTAAAAACAATAACATGAAAGTACAAGATGTTACAGATAAATATCTCATACATTTTATTCAGTAAAATGATCCAGACACAAAGAAATATATATATATACTATATAACTCCACTTGTGAGAAGCTTAGGATCAGGCAAAGCTAATAGTGTTTAAAGAAATAAATAAGAATCTAGCCGGGTGGCGGCGGCGGCGGTGGTGGCGCACGCCTTTAATCCCAGCACTCGGGAGGCAGAGGCAGGCGGATCTCTGTGAGTTCGAGGCCAGCCTGGTCTACAGAGTGAGTTCCAGGACAGCCTCCAAAGCCACAGAGAAACCCTGTCTCAAAAAACCAAAACCAAAAAAAAAAAAAAAAAAAAGGAAGAATCCAGCTCTTACAAATACTTTCTACCTTCTCTGGGTGGAACTGACTTCATCATAGGAATAATGCCAAGAGTCAGTTTCCATGCCACACCCCCTCTGATTATTAAGTACAGTATTAACAATTGCGGAACTGACCAAATGGGAGCTAAGTAAGAGCTCCTGGGAAGCTGTGAGAGCACCCGCTCAAGTTCCCATGCTGAAGTACCATCCTCTTTGTCAGCTATGAGATACTAAAGTCACAGTGGGAGGGGTAGTAAAGCCTTTGGGATGCGATTAGGATTTCAAGGGCATCAGAGGGAGGCCCCCATAAATGAATCCTAGTGGCTTTATCAGAAAAGGAGATGAAGCGGACCTACACGCATGATCTTTTCGTCTTTTGCCATGTGTCACCTTTAGACTCTGCTGGAAGGCCCCCGCCGCGTGCGACCTTTTGATCTCCAGTCTCCAGAACTGTAAAGTGAATAAACCTCTCCCTTTTATTTTGAATGTTATGTATACTTGGGCATTTGGTAGCAGACTACAGCATCTTTCTGTAAAGGCAGAGCTCCTGAGGCAGGTGTGCTGTGATTCGCCTACAGAAACTGTTGAAGAGATGCTGACACATGCTCTGCCATTGTTGGACTGAGTTTTCTCTCATATTTGTTATCCAAAATCTTTGCTCATTGTCCTCACACGGAAATGCCCATTTCCAGATGGTATTTTGAGATTTGACATTCCTATCTGTCTCAGCATAAACTTGGTAGAGGTTAGCATGCATTCTGAGTCCTCTATCTGGACATGAGGAAGTTGGAAGGGAATCTTGGGAGGTTTCTCCATGGGACACTGGGAAAGGAACAAAGCTATGTGGATCTAGGTAGGCCAGAAAATGGGCATCCAGACTAGACTGGGGTGGGAGCCTGGGAAAGTCTGGTAGAACTTTCATGTGCTTAATTAGGGTCAGTACAATTGGTCCTGTGGCTAATGTCAGAGTTTGGCTATGTGTGTTATGGAACTTCATTAGAGTTACCCTTTACGCACAGACTGCTTGTATTTGAGGAAAGGACTATAGGCCAAGTTCAAGCTTCCTAGGGCTTCCTTGCCCATCTTCTTCTTCTTCTTCTTTTTTTTTTTTGTTTTGTTTTTACGAGACAGGGTTTCTCTGTATTGTTTTGGAGGCTGTCAGTCCAGCCCAGCCTCGAACTCACAGAGATCCACCTGCCTCTGCCTCCCGAGTGCTGGGATTAAAGGCGTGTGCCACCACCGCCCGGCTGCCCATCTTCTTTGTAAGCCAGGGTCTCTCACTGAGCCTGGATCTCACAGATTCAGCTGGATTCAGGGTTCTTCCTGTCTTTGCCTCTCCAGTGCTGGGATATGGACACCTGTCACCGTGCCTGTCGTGTTACATGTGTGCTGAGCATCCAGACTCAGGTTGGGTCCTTCCCCATGGAGCCATCTCCCCTGTCTCCACTTTAGGTAATTTTCATATAGGTAATTACCTGTGTTATCATCATCGAAGTCAAGGCATGGAGATGTCCCTGGCTGCAAGAAGTTACCTCCTGCCTGCTCTTTGTGGGACACTTACCCAAACCTCTGATTAGCCATGGACAGCCCTCAGGAGACCCTAAGTGTAAAAAGCAAAAGCCACTACGTTGAGACCAACTCAAAATCCAAGCAACACTGTTTATTTTTCTCTACAGTGTGGATGAAACAAGCTACATGCCAGGGCCTATGAACACTGGGCTGAAGGTGTCTTATTCCTGTTGGTACCCAGCCCTGTTCCCATGGTAACTCTCAGGGACACTCTTGCTTTTCAGGTAGGGGTGAGGTATGGGTACAGCAGGGTCAGAGAGGCTTTCCCTGTGCACCTGTGGATGATGACCTGGGTACAAGAGTCAGCCAGTCTCCTCTGCAACCTCCTGACCTAGGATGTGGGAAGGGCCAGAGCCAATACCAATGTCCCATTAGAAACAGGAAAAGGAGGTCCCGGGAGGGAGTGGGGCAATACCCAGCTTAGATAGACCCAGGGACCCCAGGGAGCCCAGGAGTGTTGGTTATGAAGTTTAGCATTTTAGTTTCCAGGTGAGAAAATGAGAACCCAAGGATGTAACAGCAGATGACAAAGGACAGAGCTGGTCTCGGGGTCCAGGAGCCTTGAGGTCAGTCAGGCCTACTGTCTTGCTGTGTGGTAGGGTCAGAGCCTCTGAAATGCCAGTTTATTCTGGAACATTCTGAGTTCTCTGTGCTTAATAGTCTTCTTGAAGGCAAACCCGTGTGACCTCGGTGATGCCAAGATTTCCCACGATGAGCTGAGCGAGGACATTGCAGAGTCGCGCAGGGGACATCCATGTCAGCTGACAAGGCTGGGGTTGGGTAGTTCTTAGGGACACGCACCCTGGACATCAGTCGTATGTCCTTTTTAGAAAGACACTACTGGAGGAAATGGGAAACTGATGGAACACATCACTCGGGGACACAGTGTATGCCACTTGGAGGGCCCGGTTGGGGAAAGGCTGCCTCAGAAGGAACAAGGTGAGGATGGAGAAATACTGGGTAGAGTGGGAAGCCTGGACTGCAACCTGAAGAAGAGGAGTTGCGATCTACTACTCCGATGACTCCTTGGGTATGTATGCCACATTATCATAGGCAGGGGGTGGAGAGACTGCTGGGCTGGGGATGTTGAAATCCGTGCCGAAGGCGTTGGGTAGGAAAATCACAGACTGCAAAGAAACAGAAAACCCCAATCCCGGGTGGCTCTGCGGTCTTCCGGGAGTGTTGCAACAGTGCCATCCAGTGGGCACTCTGAGAACAGCGCCTTAGTACTGAATTGCCGCCCCTCCCCCCCCAGCATCGTTTAATTATCATTTCAGAAAACATTTCTAGGGTTAGTTATGATCCAGGGCTTGAACATACCGCAGTGAGCAAAGTGGGCAAACCTCACTTCTCCAGGGGCTAGTAAGCTGACAGCAACTACTGAGTCCGGGGCTCTATAGCTCTCGTCTGAACCTCAGCACTGGTCCCTGGCTGCTTCCACACCGGTAGCCCTTCACTGTACTTCTCGAATCCATCTCGTCGCCCCTGCTCCAACCTTAAATGGCACCCGCTAGCCCCTGGCTGCATTTTCCTGCCCAGGCAAGCCTTTGTACTATCAGTACCCTCCTTCCCATTCTCATTTTGTCCCCCTCCCGCACTCCCCCCTTTCCCTGGGAAAAATGAATTTAACCTCTACCGAGTCATACTGTCTTTTCCGATGTGCCCACTTGTTCACAGTCTGTTGACACCTCTGTGCAAGGTGCGCCCCTTACCCGTCCCAACCGTGTCCTCCGGGAGGATCTCAGCTCTGCCGCTAGTGCGGGCGTTCCCATGTGGCCACGGGGTAAATAGTCCCATTTCACAACTTTGGGCCCCAGTGTCTTATTGGAAGCTCATCACAACTCAACTCCAAAAGGGGAAATGGGAGGGGTCTGGAGGCGCAGTCTCTTCCCAGGCTACGGGCATTCCTCAGGGGCCCTGGACACGCATGCGTGGTGTGAGAGTACTCACTGCGTTAGTGTGAGCACGGGTGGCTTGGCACCCGAAGTGGGTGGCAATGACAGCGATGAAGAACTCCAGGATGGTGAAGATGGTCAACACAGCAAGGTAGCCCCTGCCCACATCCTGGGGACCCAAACCACAGTCAGGTCAAGGCGAGAGTTTAAAAGTAAAGGGAACCCCTGGGCCAAGAGTAACTTGCTCAGCCAAGAGGCAGGGGTGCACCTGGATCGGGCCTTCCGGACTCCAGCCCCCTCCCGCCCCCTCCCTCCATTCTACCAGGCCTCATCTCCCTTCCCCCCACATCCCATCCTGGAGTGGGGTCGCAGTGTCAGTACACTCATGAGGTCCGTTGGAGCAGCAGGCTCTGTAAATAGCCTAGGGCTGCGGACAATTTGGTCTTCCCTAGTCCTGTCTTTCCAGGTTTAGTACTCTTAGGGACATCTGCCAACACACCCAGTTAGTGACTCCGAAGTCCATGAGGAGAATGGCTGTCCCAGCGAAGGCTGCCATGGCACTGAGGATGTTGGTCCCCAGACTGCTCCTCACCTGTGGGAGGAGCAGGGGCACCAAGAAGAGGCAAAGAGGAGAAAGGACACGAGTAGTTAGCTCACTATGCCCAGCCTCCCGCATCCCCCCTCCCACGGCCCCAGGGCTGCAGCCATGAGCCCCGCACAGCTGGCTTCCCTTCCCTTCCCTTCCCTTCCCTTCCCTTCCCTTCCCTTCCCTTCCCTTCCCTTCCCTTCCCTTCCCTTCCCTTCCCTTCCCTTCCCTTCCCTTCCCTTCCCTTCCCTTCCCTTCCCTTCTCTCCTCTCCCCTCCCCTCTCCTCTCCTTTCCTTTTTCTTCTCTGTCTCTGGGAACCCAGGGAGAGGCCCCGATGCCTCCTTTTGCTTCTTGCATCCTCTTGGGAGCTTCTGTGGAGGAGGCCTGACCCTCTTGGTGGTTTTCCTGGACCACGTTTGCAGCAGGTGCCTGCACCCCTCTCCCACTTCCCTTCTCCCAGGCCCAGGCTCACCCACTGAGACAGTTTGGTGACTATTCTTCTGGGAACCTTTTCTGTGTTGGCTTCCCCTGAATGTCTATGACCACTTTATCTCTAGACCCTTACAACCTTGGGTGGCATTTTGCAAGTTTCCCATCTCTTCCTTCTATATGTGAATGTCTAACTTCCTTCCACGGACACTTAGAAAACCCCCAAGAAATGCTTGTTGAATGGGCCAAATGAATGGGCAGATGGGGGAGCCAAGGGGCAGATGGGGGAGCCGAGGGGCAGATGGGGGAGCCGAGGGGCACCCAGATGAGTGGGCCCCATCTCCAGTCCCGACTCTGTGTCTCCATTCAGACTTACCAAGCAACTGGTGTGGTTTTTCTCAGCTGCTACCGAGAGGGACCCAGAGATGATGAACTGTGTGGGGAAGAGAGGGCCCAGTGAGGTTGTGGCTGGACACTGACCAGGACACATCACGCCTGGATTCCCTCAAGAAGACACAGGTGTAGGCGGGGAACCATAAGCTTTCTTGTCTGCATCCGGGCCAGGCATCTTGTGTGTATTTCTAAGGGTGTCTTAGTGCTCTCTAAGATGCCTTTGTCCTCTGGCGTGGTAGCACACGCCTTTAATCCCAGCACTTAAGAGGCAGGGCAAGGAAGTCTCTGTGAGTTTGAGGCCAGCCTGGTCCACATAATGAGTTCTAGGACAGCCAGGGCTACAAATAGAGACTGTCTCAACAAACAAACAAACTAACAGCAACAACAACAAAAAAGAGGCCTCTGTCTTGAGACCTCAAACAATAGTTTACAAGGTATGTATTTTCACTGACATATTACTAAGGCCTCACAGGGCATGAACCTTCAAATATTCACTGATGAAATATTTACCAAGCAGCAGTTGGGTGTCAAAAACATAACAGATCTGGACAAAATGGAAAGGATCCTTCTGTCATGGGGCTGATATCATTTGGGCAGCAGCCCCAGATGCAAGGCCATGCGTGTGCATGTGTGCCTTTACGTTCTGTGGAACATTCTTTTTGTACACTATGAATATGTATTACTCTCATTGGTTAATAAAAACTGATTGCTTGATAGCTGGGTAGGAGCTCAAGAGCCAGATTAGGTGAATTCTGGGAAGAGGAAGGGCGGGGTCAGAGAGTTGCAGGCAAATGCAGAGAAGCAAGATGAGAATACCATACTAAGAAAAGGTACCAAGCCGTGTGGCTAAGCCTCAATAAGAATTATGGGTTAATTTAAGTGTAAGAGTTAGCTAGTAACAAGCCTGAGCTATCAGCCGAGCATATCCAATTAATTATAAGCCTCTATGTTGGTTATTTGGGACTGGTGGCTGGGATTGGGAAAGAAACATCTGCCTACATTTGTGTGTGTGTGTGTGTGTGTGTGTGTGTGTGTACTCACACCTGTGAGCCAAGGACAACCTTAGGTGCCATTCCTCCTCAAGAGCTGCCTACTTTGACCTTTGAGACAGGCTCTCTTACCTGGACTTGGTGGGCCTGACCAGTGAGACCCAGGGAGGGCTGCCTGTCTACATCTCTCCAGCCCTGGGGTTGCAAGCTCAGGTTGGCTTTTGACAAGGGCGATGGAGACACAACTCAAGCCCTCGTTCTTGCTGCGCAGGTGCGTACACCCCGAGCGATCTCCCCAGCCCCGTGAAGTTCTAGGATAAAGACTGAATGCTGAGGTACACATGCCCTGCCCAGGCCTCATGACTCTTTTTTATTTTTCCCCTCCTACCATGTGGATGGGGCAGCCGTGTGACAGAATTTGAAGCAGGAGGGAGCTCAGAGAAGAACTGCTACCCTTGTTTCTTCCTGAGGCAATAGTGCCTTCCTCGACTTCTGCTTGCCAACATTTTCCTCCGACTCGGGCCCACTATGGACCAGTAGAGCTGGTACTTAAAAGTTTGTTCCCAGACGTTTAGCTCCAGCTGTGGAGTGTCAGCAATATTGGCCTCTCTGAGCTCAGCTTTTAGGGGCTTCTGAGCTCTTGCCGAGATAGCCTGGGATGCATAGAAGGGACTCCACCGTCCTCCACAGAGGAGCTTCCGTGTAGACCCCATTAGGCTGATCCCCAAAGCCTGTGCTTCCTGGAGGCAGCTGGAGGCTCCCCACCACCAGAGCACTGGCACCTTTGGTAGAGCCACAGACAGAAGTGCTACCTTGCAAACTCCTGCTCTTTGGCACCCCGGAACGGACAAGGAAGCCCTGATTTGGTTCTCCAGTGGGGTATGTCCAGAGGAATGGACGCAGGGCAGGGAGACTCCCTGGAGATCACTTCAGACAGGGCTGGGACTCACAGAGGTAACTGAGGCTTTTCTTTTTTTTTCTTTTTTCTTTTCTTTCTTTCTTTTTTTTTTTTTTTTTCTTTTTTGGTTTTACGAGACAGGGTTTCTCTGTATTGTTTTGGAGGCTGTCGGTCCAGCCCCGCCTCGAACTCACAGAGTTCCGCCTGCCTCTGCCTCCCGAGTGCTGGGATTGAAGGCGTGCGCCACCACCGCCCGGCAACTGAGACTTTTCTACGTGTGGGGTGTGGGGTGTGGAATGGGTGTTGGGCCGCAGAAGCCCGGCTGTGATTAGGACTCTGGCCTGCTTGATCCTCACAGTTTCTGGTGGAACTCTGCCTGTTTGCCAGGAGTGGGTCAGGCTGTGGATTCTAATGAAGGTTAGGAGTCAGTAATAACTGCTATGCCCAGGTTAGTCTGGGAGGCGAGTTAGACCCTGACCCAGGATGGGCTAAGGCTAGGGAAATGTTAGAGGTGACCTGGGCAGGACCACTCCCCAGCATAGGATGGCAACTCCCCGCACTCACGCAAGCTCCTCCCCAGAAGGGGACGCCACCTTCGATGAAGAGCATTCCCAGGTGGCCTCGGCGAACCATGAGCAGGACGCTGCCGAAGCCAAGGTGGATGAGGCCGATCAGGATCTGCACCGTCTGTGGGAGGCACCGAGGGCTCAGGCTATTGACCTCCTTCCATGAGCCCCATAGCGCCCCCTGCCGACCTCTCAGGAGAGCGGCCGATCCCCGCAGATTTGGCTTCCCTTAGGCTGAGGCCAGAGCATTAAATCAAGATAGAGCCAACTCTCCTCAGCCCACCAGGAGCTCCAGGCCAAAGCATAAAGTGTGAATGGGGTTGTAGTTGTCAAGCACAGCTCTGAGCTGCTTGTCTGATTTTCTAAGCCCTGGCTCTTTGCCTCTCAGCACTCTGGTAACCAAAATGCCTAGCTTGCCTTCTGCCTGTAGTCTTTCCCCAGCCCATCGTGTGTGTGTGTGTGTGTGTGTGTGTGTGTGTGTGTGTGTGTGTGTGTGTGTGTGTGTGTCCCACTGCCAACAACGCCATCTTTTTCTGCCCCTGGAATAAGTCCTGTGAAATGCCAGCTGCTTGTCAGCACAGCACAGTACTGGCTACTTTCAGATCTGTCCTCTTTTAAAACCAATACATCGATGTGAATACATCTTAATTTTGGGGCTCAGGAAACTGAATTTATAGACACTCAGTAATCCACAGATATGGAGGAGTGGGCTAGCTAACCCCAAAGCTAGTGTGCTGTTTAATTTTTATGTCAACTTGACACAAACTAGAGTAATGAAGGCATCCTCAATTGAGAAAATGCCTCTCTAAGACAGGCTACAGCCTGTATGGCATTTTCTTAATTAGTGGTCAGTGGGGGAGGGCCCAGCCTATGGTGGGTGGTGCCATCCCTCACTGGTGGTCTTGGGGTCTATAAGAAAGCAGACTGAGCAGGCCATGAGGAACAAGCCGGTAGGCAGCACCCCTCCATAGTTTCTGCATCAGCTCCTGCCTCCAGGTTCCTGCCCTGCTTGACTTCCAGTCTTGACTTCTTCCAACAATAGACTGCAATGTGGAAGTGTAAGCCAAACAAACCCTTTCTTCCCCAACTTGTCTTTGGTCACGGTATTTTATCACAGCAACAGAAACCCTGACTAAGATAGCTGGTGTTCTTCCTTTGGCTCATACTCCTAGACACTTATTTAGATTTCCTGCAGATTTGCTTTGTCTTACCAGAGAGAGAGAGAGAGAGAGAGAGAGAGAGAGAGAGAGAGAGAGAGAGAGAGAGAGAGAGAGTTCAATTCCCAGGGCCTTCTCTGTGGTTTCAGGGTTCTAGAAACAATATCTTCTTTTTTTTTTTCAAGACAGGGTTTCTTTGTGTAGCCTTGGCTATCCTGGAACTAGCTCTGTAGACCAGGCTAGCTTCAGACTCACAGATATCTGCCTGCCTCTGCTTCCCGGGTGCTGGAATTAAAGGTGTGCACTGCTGCCATCAGCCAATATCTTATTTTAATTTGCTATCCCCAGTCACTTTATCTACCATAACCTTGATTCAGTTTTAGGATGGAGTCTGCATTCTAGCAGGTTTGAGTTAGAGGTCCTGGCATGACCAAACAGTGGCTGTCCTGGGTTACAGGATGCCACCTGCCAGCAGTCTGGCCTTGGACAAATGACTTATTTTGACAAGCCTTGGGCTCTTAGTCTTTCCAATAAGAATGGGAGTTCCTGGCTCAGAAGGCAGTGCTGAGAATTGAGAGTTTGAAAAGATGATGTGATACAGTGTAGGTATCTCTCAGAGCCGTCACTGTCACCATTGTGAACACTGTTTCTATTGTTCACACAGAGAAATATATGTATGCATATATAATTTACATGTGTGATTTAATAGGAGACCATTAATGTCTCTTCCTATGCAGCAAACAAATTGCAGCCTAACTTAGTATGGAAACAAATAGAAACCCAACTTAGGGGCATATATTTTAAATAAGTAGTGGAGTTTAGCCCAACACAGACAGCTGAGCACAGCAGTCGCAGGCATCCTAAGGATCAGATTACACTCAAATTAGGCAAATGTCCACTGTCATCACTGTTCACGCAGGAGACCGCCCATCTGTAGCCAGCCAGGTGATCTCTCCTCTTCCTTACTGCTCATACTGCTGGGTGGGGCTTGAACTTCTGGTTCTGAGGCCTCCATGGCTTCATGAGTTCTTGGCCCATGATTATGAGCAAAGAACAATGATATGCAAGCATTAAAATCAGCATTATGAAACTCATTATTTTGGACACTAAAACACTTCAATTGAATTTGAAGCCTTTGTTTTGAGCAATTTACATGCCGTCTATCCATCACCTATCATTTAATCCATTTTATCTATCAACCACCACTGACTATATATCTAGTCTATTATTATTTGTCTTACCTATATATCTGTCCTATCTTATTTATCAATCCTACCAATCTCATCTACCAATCCTATTTATTTATCATCCACGCATCTATCTTATCCTCTTAACTATACTCACCTGTCATCTGTCTTTCATTATCTATTACCTATCTAATCTATCTTCTGTCTTATCCATTTATCTACCCTTCATCTCTGTCTCATTCCTTCTTAGCGAGCACTATCCAAGGCCATTTGAGATTAGAGGAGGGCGCCACCCTTCTTGGACTGTCAGATCTACCTTTTCACTCTCAGCCCGTCACCTTCCTTTGTTCATTAAGTTCCAGCTATGTCAGTGTTCCGCGTCTTTCTTAGTGAGCTGCACCCGTTCCCATCTCAGGGCCTTTGCATTTGCTGCTCTTTTGTATAGGCAACCCTACCCTCCACCCATCCTTCCACACAGCTCTTGCTAGGCTGACTTCAACACCCAGGATTTAGCTTCAGTGTCATCTCCTCAGAGAGACCTTTCTGTCCTTACTAGTGTTGCACACCCCCATCCATCATTCTTCATCCTCTTTGGAGTTCTGGTCATTTGTTTACTGGCTTATTTGGTGAGCTCCAAGCGCCTTGTCTGTCTGGTGCACGAATGAATTCTCACATTTATCCTCTGTCTGCGCCCCTCCCTGTAGAGCATGAGGCTCACTACCTGCCCAGACGTTTTATCTCAGGTCACATGGGGGAGCTTTTCTTACCCCTAAAGCTTTGGGCTCTCCGGTCAAGAACGTCTCTGTTGGTCTAAGGTCAGGTGGCTGGGTGGCCCTGGGCGCCTGCGCCCCCAGCGGTGACTCTTCGAACTGCATGATCCCTGGAGGCTGGCACATAGAGGTGGGCAGAATGGCTGGAGGCGGGCGGAGGCCGCTGGCGTTGCTGGGCGGGATGACGACAAAGACACCATTGCTGGCAGGAGGTGTGGACATCGTGTTCAGAGAGCCTGGGGGACGAAGGCTCAGGAGTTAACAAGGCAGTAATGGTGGTTACACATTTGCTTAAGGCTGTCGATTGATAAATGGAGCTCCTCCTGCTCTTGCTTACTGAGGCCTGGAGATAGTTGAGCCCAAATTCCCGACTAGAACTGGGAAAAGAGAAAAGACTCCCAAAAGAGAAGTAAGCTCCTGGTGAAAGGCGGGGGGCTTTTTTGACTTGAATCTTAAGCTTTTTTGGCTCTTGACTCCTACATTATATGGAAGGAACTTTTTTTTTCAGTGCTGCCCATGGAACCCAGCCCACAAGCGAGTCTAGCCCACTACTGCTGAACCATAACCCCAGTCCAAGTGGAACCTTTGAGAGGAGCATGTATTTAAACATCCTCCTTTCCCCAGAGAGGGTGAGTGACTGCTCACACACAGCCCTTCCTTCCTCTAGACCTACATTTGGTGACTGTGGGTAGTAATTACCCCAGGGCAACCCATCCTGCTCCCTGTGTGTCTACCCTAGGAGTAACGCTATTGTAGCCAAGACAAACACGGATTGTGGAAACCTTAGGTGTGGCTGGCCTAGGAAAACACTCTAGGGAATGAATGCTGACCCTTTAGCTAGATGTCCGACAGCTGCTTCCCAGGGTGTGTATATAATCTAGTGGATTATATGACATTAAAACAGTATCCTCCTTGCTGGCTTTAGCTAGATGTCCGACAGCGGCTTCCCAAGGTGTATATATAATCTAGTAGACTATAAGACATTAAAACAGTATCCTCCTTGCTGGCTTTCACATGTGGTGAAGAACCCAGCAGTCCAAGTCACAGCTTTGTGACAGAAGACAGGATTTGAATCCTGGCCCATGTAGTTACTATGAGACAAGGGGCAAGATGGTCACCTCTTCCTGCCTCAGTTTCCTGACCAAGAGTAGGGGTAAAGGCACTAGACCCTGTCTCATTCTAGGCCTGTTAAAGGCCATGATTTACACAGTGAATTGTTCCAGCATCTTCACTTGGAGTATGTTTTTAAACCTCATGTATTCAGTGCACAAATGTGTTTTTGCCCACTGATTTAGGGTTGTGGTTTGAGTTCCTGAGGCATTGTAGCTCACTGCTTGTGGGGGATCAGGCTGTGCTATGCTCTAAGTAACTTCATATTGTGTAAAAGAGTGGCTTTGGGCTGTGCCCTGTCCTGAGTGACTCTGTTTGAAAGGTGACTCTGTGGGTCCACGCAATGAGTCAAGATGACTCTGTGTCTCACTGTGCAGGTAGATACCCACCTCCGGTCAGTGCCATCCACAAGGCACAAACTATTTACACCTAAGGATGGAAAGGACCACCTGGACCCTATAAAGAAGACACCATCACTGTAGAGGTGGGGACCCCACTGCCCTGGCACCTGACCACCCAATGTGTGTGTCATGGGGCCACCAGGCAGATTGTCTGGCACTTCAGCTCAGTGGGGTCTCCACTGCTTGACACAGCCTCCTGAAACTACTGCCAGTCTGTCTCGTTGTCCAAAACAGCCCTGATCCTCCATGGTCCTGTGTCTCTGCAGTCCCCTGTCTTCAGCTCTCCAGCTGGGGCTCTTAATATCACTTCCAACCAATGCAGCAACTTTTTGTGTCTCTAATAGCTCACAGCCTCTGGTAAGGCCTCTTGGAACTGTGCTGTGGCCTCTCTGTACTTTTATAGTCATTCTGTAACTTGTAAAACACACACACACACACACAGTAAAGTGTGTGATCTGAGAGTTAACAGCCAGCTATTAAGGGAAAATCAGGAGTACTTGGCAAATTGCAGCAAATGAAACTGACTCGGCTTGTAAATGTATTGTTAGTCAATACATTCTGGCCCCATGGAAAACACAAATGTGTCTGTCTATGCTTCTGAAATAGCAGGATCTTGACATAGCCCATTTCCTGTGGCTCTGTGAGGGATCTCAGTGGATGTGCATCTCTATGCTGGGTGATGGTGCTTGCCACGTGAGTGTCCTCTGTGCTGCTTGCTCTATGACGGGCTTGATCCATATTGGTGAATATAAAGGGCAAGGGTCCTGTTGGGGCTGCCTTTGAGAGTCATAGCTGAGTCCCCACAAGGAGTGAAGCAGGGTTCTAGCAGCTGGAGTACCTCCATGGGGATGGCAGAGGAGGCACAGGTAAAATCTGCTGGTATGAGCATTTTCTATTCACTGGAGGTGATTAATAAACTGTTTCATGAGACAGCTCAGTCGGTAAAGTACTTGCTGCACAGGCATGAAGACCACCTGAGTCTGAATTCCAGAAACCCGCATAAAAAGCTGGGCATGGGAGAACATACTTGTAATCCCAGTGCTGGGGAGATAGAACCAATTGAATCCTTGGGGGTTCTCTGGTCTGCCAGTCCAGCCTACTTGGTGAGCTCCAGACCAATAGAGACTCTCTCTCTCTCTCAGAAAACAAGGTAGCTGTCTACTCTACCTCCAAGGTAGAGTGACACCTAAAGTGGACCTCTGGCCTCCATGCACATGCACCGACTTGCATATATAAATGCACATGCATATGTGTACACACATGCAAGCACACAGATGCACAAGCATGAACATGCATATACATGTACACATACAGATATTCATGCACACATATGCGAAAAAAGAAAATGTTTCAGGTAAATAGTGTTATTGAATGACAATCCCATACAGAGAGTGGCAGAAATCTCTTGCCATCTTCAAGGACTTCAAGGAATAGTGCTATTATTTCCCACAAGGTGGGATTTAGTTGGGGCTCCAGTTTTCTGACCCTCACACTGAAATGATTATTAGCAGACACGAACACTGCTTAGGACAGTACCAACAAACATTCCCTGCAGACACTCAGCTAGTAAAGATTTAGCAGACATGAACACTGCTTGGGACAGTACCAGCAAACATTCCTTGCAGACACTCAGCTAGTAAAGATTTTGGACTTTTGTGAGGTAGTTTCTGTTTCAAGTAGGAGAAGCTTCTGTGAACCAGGCACAGACAATGAATGCATAAATAGGTGGGGCTGTGTTTCAATAAAGCTTTATTGATATGAAATGGTGGGCTGGAGTTTTCCAACTCCAATCTTAAAACACTGCCTGGACCATAGTAAATGGTCACTGGAATTTACATGTTGCTTTAAATGTCATTTACATTAATTTCTGTGTTTTGGAATAAGAAGGAAAATACATCGAGCTAGCAAATATTGCTACACAATTGGCTGTGGTGACTGTGACTAGAGTTTGGATCTTGAATGTCCCTCAAAGGTTCACGTGTTAGACAAAGACTTGGTCCCCAGGATGATGTGACTGTCAGGTAACAGAACCTCAAATTACTTAATTTTCTTATTTCTGTCACCAAATACTGAAAAATAAGCAGGTTAAAGCAAGGAGGGTTTATTTTGGCCTAGGGTTCAGGGGGACACTGTCCATCGTGCTGGGGAAGCCATGGCGGCAGGAGTGTGAGGCGTCTGGTTGGAATCACCTGCAGTGGGGAAGCCCTGAGTGGACAGGAGCTACAGCCAGGCTGCTAACCTTGAGCCCTGGCCCCAGCGAGCCACTTTCTCCAGAGAGGTTCCATCTCTTTAAGATCCCACGTCTTTCTAAAACAGCGTCACCAGCCTGAGACCAAAAGGAACACGAGCCACAATGGACATGCAAGAGACAGAGGCTGGTGGAGGGTCCCTTGGCCTTGGGGGTCAGGGCATGTCCTTGAAGGGGGTTTTGGGATCTTGGCTTCTTCTTGGATTACTACTCACATACTCTGGCTACCATGCCCTACCTCCCCACAGGTTCAAAACACAGGACTGAGCCAGGAACAAACCTGTTCTCTTTAGAGGCCGATCACCCCAGGCATTGCCATTGCCGCTCATTTCGTCTCAGAGGCTGGCAGTGAGGATAACAATGGACCAGAGTGTCCTTAGAAACTGGCAAAGGGCTGGGGTGGGCTTGTTTCAAAGCAGTGCTGCCGTCAGCTCTAGACCACCACTGACATTTGAAACGTTCTGAAGTCTTCACGAGGCACCAGCTGCACCCTGCCCCAGGTTATGGGATTAACAGCATGGGCTAACTGTTTCTGGAGGACATCCTTGTCTCTGGATGCTTCTGATACATTGCTTCTTACCCTTACAGTGACCTGATAACTCCCACAGTTTATCTTCTTGGTGTGATGACTGAGGCTTGCGGCAGAGAAGGGACATGCTTAAGGTGACTCAGCTAGTGAATTTGAGGCAAGGATTCAAGCCCGAGTCTGTCTGTGTCGCAGCCTGTATCTGTCCCTCCTTGCTGCTTCCAGGGACAGGCTCTGTTATTTGTTCAGTTGTTCTAGCTATTACATTCTGTGTGCCTTGAAGTTTGGGGTGGACATGTGACCATATGAGTGACAGTAAATTCACAACTTCTGAGGTAAGAGTTTAGTGACTAGTCCAGGGAACCATGGAGGGTCTTTCCTCATTGTCACAGTAACTAGCCATCCTGCAGACGGAGGCTACTTTATCTGATTGGGTTCCCAAGTGAGTAACTTCTTCTGGGCTGTGAAATAGGAGAAAGTGAGTCCTCTCTGCTGTCCTATGACACTACGACGGGGATGGAGATCCCAAGTTCCATGCCCAGACAGAAAAACATTGGGCATAGTGTCGTTCTTAGACTCCCAGTGCTGGGGCGGCAAAGCCATGCAGATCCCTAGCCTCAACATGTATGAGTGCACACTTGTATATGTACTCACACATGTGCATTGCATGTATACATGTATATAGGAGAGCCATTATTATTAAAGACGAGAGCCATCTGACTCCCCTCCGTATTCACAGGTGATCAAATTATAAACCAAAGGGGGCTGAGGGAGCCTGCCACTGCAGCACTTCTCTAAGTAAGGACATTTAAAATTTAGTAAGGACAGAGTCAGAAAAGACAGAATTTTAGGCTAAAAGAACACACTAGCTTTCATAGTTGTTGTTTCACCAGGGACAGGCAAAGATCATGTCTGAGGGCCGTGATGAGTACTGGGGACATTTTCTGGGGTCAGAAGAACTCTCAGCTCCCACAGGGCTCAAGCCACCCAGCACGGAGCACTTGCGTCATTAACAGCATCTCTCCCAGGTGGGTGGTGAGAAATATGATCAAACACAGAGCCCCGTGACCCTCAGGAGAAGGAAACACCTACAGAAATAGGCTTTGCACCCTTGCAGGGTAAGTGGTAAACCCAAGCAGGAACACATGACACAGGTCCTGAGATTCTCACACTCCCCTCCCCCAGCTCCTCCGAAGCCAGTGACTAATCCCCTTGTGGTATTCCAGGTGTTTCCACCTCAGTGGCCCCCATTTCTCACTAACAAACAGCCAACATATCTGCCACTCGTACATGCATAGAAGGAAAGCCACTGCACCCTGCCTTAAGCGAACAGCTGCCTGGAAGTTCAGGACAACTGTGTTAATTATGCTGAATGAGATGTAGTAATAACAGCCCTTCATGCAAAGCCCTTAACAGTTTATAAGGATCTCTCCTACAGATCCGAGGGTGGCCCTGGGAAGGAGATGTTTTGCTGGCTATTTTGCAGAAGCAAGTGGGGCCAGGTCATGGGCCCTGTGGACTGATGTGTTGGTTGGAGAGCAGACCCTGAAGTGAGTGATGTCATCAGGAATGTCAGAGGACTTGCAAAACGCAGGTGGCTGAGAAGCTGCCGGTTGGGTTTTATACTCTTTTCCTAGGGTTGCAAGTGGGGTTGAAAGTAGATTTGACACCCACAGGAAGAAGAGCACATGTCTTTGGCTGTCTTTTGCTGTGGGTAGAGGCTTCCTTGAGGAACTGGCTGGGAGAAAGCCACATGTAGGCTGTATTCACTGGACCTGCGGATTCCTAGGTTAGGCGAGGGCTCTTTTGCAGAGGGGTACACAGGAGATCCTTGCAATGGGGTGTGACTCTGTAGAGACACCCTTTTAGAGAAATGCCTAACTGGGGGGGGGAGGGACGATAGCAACTCACAAAGCACCTAACAGGTACATGGCCCCTGTCCTTTGTCCTCATTTAGCACTGCCCAGCCTTGGAGATGTCACTGTTAGTCAGCCACTAATTGTATGGGGTAGGGGGTGGGGAGCAAGAAAAGGCACGGGAAAAGATGACAGCCATCCATCACCCTCCTTACTTGCTGGACCTGGGTTGAGGAGCAGCCCCAGGTGGTAACATGACACAACACAAGACCAGGCAGGCTAATTGATAAATTGCTGTGGTTTGGCCCGAAACTGACTGGAAAACACTGACTGATTGCCTAAGTGTCACTCAGCTATAATCGCTGTGAATCTTTAAAAATTAATGTAAACAGTTTTACTTAGAAATAGATACCTATTTGCATTGTAGAACATAAACATTTGATTCGCATCCTATAAAAAAGAACCAATAGCCAAATTCAATAGAATTAGCATTCACAGAGCACACTCTGCCTTGGGCTTGATTGGAACCACAAAACAAAACAGATCTGCCAAAGAGAATAAGGACCACCTAGCAATGTCCGGCCTCATGCCTGTGTGGGGGGGGGGAGGCCTTCACAGCCTCAGTGGCAGGGGTAATGGTGCCCCAGTGTGCTGGCTGGAGCACTCTCCAGCAGCCAGCACTTGTCCTGAGAGTGACTCTCATCCAGGTTCCAAAGCAGCTTTGCTTACTTCCCTGTTGAAGCTACCGTTTGAGGAGGTGTCTGCAGCCATTTTTCAGACCAGGCAAAAACTTGCATCTATGTAAGCCTGGCCCTGTGGCACCAGGCATCTTGTCTCCAACCTCAGCTTTTCTAGGACAGCCCAGGCCCGCCCCAAAGTCCCAGAAGTGATGCTACCAGGTGCAAACCTGCCACGGGGAAGCAGATTTCAGTCATTTTCTCCCTCCCTCAGGTTGGCCTTCACATACCCAATGGCTTTCTGCTATGCCCGTGTGCCCCTCCCCTGAGACTGGGCAGCAGGGACAGTTCTTTCTGCTATGCCCGTGTGCCCTTCCCCTGAGACTGGGCATCAGGGACAGTTCTTCCTGCTATACTCGTGTGCCCCTCCCCTGAGACTGGGCAGCAGGGACAGTTCTTTCTGCTATGCTTGTGTGCCCTTCCCCTGAGACTGGGCATCAGGGACAGTTCTTCCTGCTATACTCGTGTGCCCCTCCCCTGAGACTGGGCAGCAGGGACAGTTCTGCTTTTCCCTGACTAATGCGTCCCATGTGCAAATGACACAGTATTTGCCCAGAAGAGTTTTCTAGCAGTGACCCTTGCCATGCCCTTCTCCTCCCCTCAGAGAAGGGGAAGACAGGACACTTGTGCCTGGTTGGACCCCTAACATGAGTTGGCTTCTGGAGGAATAGAGTCTCCTCGGGAGGGTGATTGTCTCCCTGGAGTCCCTGGCAGGTACCCGAGTAATCTCTGGCCCTGGCTTTGAGGAGAGAAGACAGATACCCCTCCTTTGTCCCTCTTCACTGTGCAGTGGGTCTCTCATTTCCCGAGCTAGAACGAGTGGCCCTGGGATCTTCCTTCCTTCCCAGTCTTAGTGCCAGGTAGGTTTCTGTCAATGATCTCTTTCTCTCTCCATCCCTGGGGGTCCCTACACCCCCTCTCGCCCCTCCCCCGGGCGGCCTTTTTAGAAGGACGATGGGGTACTCACCGGCTTGCCACGGCTGCTGTGCAGGCTGCTGGCTCCCCTCTGCCTCTGCGCTCCCACATTCACACATTACCCTGTGAAAACCTTGCTATTCCTGTGGGGCTTAGAAATCACTGTCTGGGAGCTGCTCCTCTGGTAGGTTCTCAGTCCTTCCCCGGCTTAAGGCCTCCGCCTGTCTCCCAGAGGTGGGGGCCAGAGGCAGCCACTTGTGTGGTCGCTGGCCTCCGAAGGGCCCAAGAGCATCCCATTCCCCTGCCTCAGTCTCTGGAAGGGAACATCAAGGCCCAGAGAGGAAAGTCAGTTGCTTGGCACCCACTACTGTGTCAGAGCTGCGATGAGGATCTCTAAGGCTTTCTCCTTCCCCTTCACCCCACTGAGATGCTCTGAGAAGACTAGGCTGCCTGTGTTCTGTCCTTCCAGGTTTGGCCACAGTTAGACAAGGAGCCCAGGAGGCTCACAGGTTTCCGGTGGCAGGTGGGAGGGAGGGTCTAAGCATGAACATTCATGTGGACATGTGTTAGTATGTGTGTGTGTTTGTATACACAGTGCCCTTCAAGTACTTGGAAAATTAGTCTATGAGTTTCTGGGTCCAGGATCTCACAGAATGTCTTATGAGGCAACTAAGAAAGTCACATGACTGGGTAGGACCTATAGGCTCAAGACATCCGGGGGACAGGGCTGGGCCAGCTCACAGCTAACCCTGGGACAGATCAGCATGGCAGGTTGAATGTAAAAATGGCCTTAGTCCCCAGGCCAATGTGTGTCTACACCTTTAGAGGGTTGGGGTTGTTCTCCTGAGTCTATCGCTGCCCTGTGACTTCCTATGCCAACAGAAGTAGGAGTGATCAGTTCCGAACTGAGACATAGGAGGCTGTGAGCTCTGCACCTAGCACTGACCATGTCTGGCTTCCCTGTTGGAGGCTGATGTGCATGGCATAACCCAGTTGTCCCTGGTGAGGCCCCACCCATGCAGCTGTGGTCAGCAAGGCCACGAGCTGACTTTCCACTGAACACAAATGCATGAGATAGTTCTGCCAAGTCCAAGTCAGAACAGACATACCCAGGCAACAGTAGACCAGGAACAAAATGAATTTTTTTTGTGTGGTATAGCAGAGGGTCTGCCTCTTTGTTATAGGCATAGATTTGAGTCTAGAGGGCACGTGATAAGATTCTAGACTTATGTCCCTGAATGAGAAATTAGGCCAAGGTCACATGGGTAGTGATAGACAGGGACAATTATTAAGTAAGAGAAAAGTCCTTCTGAGAATGGAAGTAGGATGGACACTTGGGGCAGCTCAGGTCTCCAAAGTGTCAGGCACTCCAGCATCAGGGCCCACTATAGTTCATTTGCATAGAATCTGCCTTTTCCACATTTGTCATCTGTATGCGGTGCTACTCTGTTCCTTCCCTGTAGCCTTGGTAGGGAGGTTTCCAGGCTCTGCCAACTGACTTCTCATGTTAATCTTGATGCCTCTTCCCCATGATCTGGATGATTCGGCCAGTATGGTCACATCTCCCTCTCTTGCTGACTGGTTCTTGTCTTTGCTTTTTCTTTGGATATGGCTGAGTCTGTTAATTCTGCTTGCACACTGGGCTAACGCTTTGCTAGTAAATACTGAATAGCAGACTGGCTACGCTCGTTCTGCTTGTCCTCATCCTTGAGAGGTGTCTTCCTACACGCTCTGCTGCTCCTTGGACTCCTGTCCACTTTGTGACCCCAAAGCTAAAGTATTAATGGCTACCTCAGCAGTTTAGCATTTGCCCATTTATCTCCACTACTTGTCTTACCCTCATGGCTAGCACCGGACACACGGTGAGTATACAGTTGTTGCATATAGGAATGGATGTGACCACACTTTTCCCTCCCTGCACGCTCTGAACAAGGGCTTTGAGCAGAGGGGTGGGTTGAGGTACAGGTTCTGAGTAGAACTCACATCAAATAGCAGAGGAAGTTTTAAGTGGAATGCTTTGGAACTGGTTTACCTTAATGGTGGAATGATAATGCCCCCGCCCCCCAGGATTCATATGCCATACACTCTGAGGAATGAGCCCCAAACTGGTTCCACAGGGACAACTCCCCAGCTAGTGTGTGTTAGCTTGTCCTGCCCTGGGGTAGACATGCAGACTTTAGGGAGGTGGGAGGGGGCGCAGGGCAAGCTATCGTGGTATGGTAGATGGAGCTGGTCTGTGGCCCAGGTGTCAGGGAATCCTATTTTACATCTAAAGAGAAGGGCTCCTGTCCCAGTTAGCATTAAGTCATTGTGAGGTATCCACCAAAGACTACCCGGACAAGGCTTAAGAGCCACTGGAAAGTCTTTATTAGCTGGCCAGAGACTACACTGTATGTTCAGGACCCAAATGCACTCCCAAGCCTTTCTCAGGGTGAGCAGTTGAGGACAAAACCCACATCGTATGTTAATACTCCACAGGTAGAAAGAACAGCTAGCCAGAAGTGGAAATACAGAAGCCAAAAAGCAACATAGTACATTTGGGGCCTTTCCCAGAACTATGAACTTTGTTCTAGTTTTGACAGGTGTTGCTTATGTCCTGGCTCCTATGGCCTGAATGACACTTCCATCATGGTGTCAGTAGTGCTAAGGTCTGGGGGCCTGTTACAAACTGTCAACTTAAAAAGCTGAGAATCACCTAGAAAACAAAAGAGTCTCAGCGGAAAAATTGCCTTTGTCAAGTTAGACCATGAGCATGTCTCTGAGGGATTGTCTTAGTTGATATGGGAGGGTCCAGTTCACTGTGGACAGTGCCATTTCCTAAGAAGGTAGCTCCAGTATGCATTAGAAAGGTAGCTAGGCATGTATAAGCCAGGGAACATGCCAGGAAATAGCATTGCTACATGGTTCCTATCTCCAGGTTCCTGCCCTGATTTCCCTCAATGATGGACCATGATCCAGGAGCTGTATGCCGAAATAAACCCATTCCTCTCCCAAGTTGCTTTTGGCCATGGTGTTTGTCATGGCAACAGGCAAAACAGAGCATCTTCTCTCCGAGTGTCAGTTTCCTCTTGAGTGATGGACTGAGGATGTCTCTATGTTATTGTTGGTCATTCAGTCTCTGTGAACAGTGAAGCAGAAGCACTGTTCACATGTTGGCTGTTTACTGCCCTTTACTTCCGGTGCTGTGACTACTGCACTAGAGTGCCTTTGAGTGGACTTAAGAACCTCATCTTTAAAGGTTATGGCAGTTGCAGGGCCCTGGTGACTGGTAATGACTATGGGGAGCTTCAGGATAGTGGATGTTGCAATATGGAAGTTTTTGACCCTTATTACCCTTCGTTATCACAGGCAGAAAAGAGATGCTTGAGGGGCTGAAGAGACAGTTGGCTAAGTACTTGCTTTGCAAACACAAAGACCTGATTTGATCCCCATGTCGGTGTTAAAAAGAAAAAGTCAGACGAGATCGGGCGCGTTCAGGGTGGTATGGCTGTAGACAACATCAGCCTGGGAATCCAGCATGGGACTGATCAAGACCCCCTGAATCTGGGTGTCAGTGAAGAGGCCTAGGGAATCTATTGAGCCTTGGGCAGCAGATCAGTACCCATCCCAAGTATACACACGGACTTTGGACTCCCATAGAACAATGTGAGGTGCATTCTCACCCTGAACTCTTGGGGAAGGGTCTAGGCCCTGCCCTATATGAAATGACAGACTATGCACACCCCCATGGAGGGCCTCACCCTCCCTGGGGAAATGAGGGGATAACGGGGGGGGGGGAGGTTGGGGGGAGGGCACGGGAGGAAGGGAGGGAATGGGAGAGGGACCTGGAACTGACTTGTGAAGCAACCTTGTTTCTTACCTCAATTTAAACTGGAAAATAAAATTAAAAAAAAAAGAAAAAGTCAGGCAAGATGGCACATAATGGTTATCCTAGGCTTGGGGAGGTGTGACAGGCAGATTCTTAGGCTCACAGGCTTACTAGCCTAGTATACTTGGTGAATTCCAAGCCAGTAAAAAGACTTTGTCTCAAGAAAGGGGAAGAGGAAAGTGCTTGAGAAACATCTGAAATTGTCTTCTACATGCATGCACATACATGTGCAAGCACACTCATGCACACCTGTGAGCCAGTATGTACCTGTGTACACATCAAACACATGTGCACACATACGTAAAATAAAAAGAAATGCTTGAACATAGGCACTTAATGAAGTAGTGTCAGGAGCCAGGGTCACACTAGTGAAAGAAAGTTTCTTTGATCTCTGTAGATTAGCTAGAAACAGCCTTGTGGATCGGATAGGAGCAATGGTCATATTGTTGAGTGGTACCAGGAACTGGGATCCTGTCACTTGTGCATGTTGTCCATTGTAAGGACTCTAGGAAAAGACAGAAGGACAGAAGAGGGGCTGGAGAGTGATGCGGGACCACTGTGGTCTGGAAGGTCTGCTGTAGAGCCTCTTTGTACAGATAAAAGAGGGTTTTAAGCTTGCATCTCTACCATTGCTCAACCCAGACAGCTTTTTCTTGGGCTTGGGTGGCTTTCTTGTTATAGTTCCAGCAGGCAGTATGCTGTCCATTTGCTGTCTCACTCACACACTCAGGAGTGCTGGGGACACATACCAACCAGGGTTGGGCAGTTCATGCTCTCTGTGTTGCCCCCAGGTTCCTCGGTGGTGGGGAGTTGCCTTTCAGGATTAGAGGTGGAGGAGGGCAATTGAACTGGCAGACATTTGGCCCGTCTACTAGTTTAGAACTGACTTCCCACCAGTAAGGGTACAGTGGAGCAATAGAACAAGAACAATGCAACCTTATATGTAGTTTGTTAAAGTTAGAAGACACCTAAACCAATCCAAAGGGAAGCTTCAGAGTGAAGAGGAGGCAAAATGGGTGTTCGCCTTGGCCTGGTGGTGATGCCAGCATCAAGGTTTCAGGTGTTTCATGTGGAAGCAAAGCCACCATTACAGTGGCACGTCCTTGTCGTTGAAGTGGGCATTCCGTCAGCTATTTCTGGGCAAGATTAGCTCCACTTATGTATATGTTTTCAGGGGAAACATTACTGGGGACGGTGGGCTGGACAGTGGCCTGGACTGGGATGTTGGTGGCACTAGCTGGGCTGGTGGTGTTGACAGGTCCATTGGTCGTGTTGACCGTGTTGCTACTGAACATAGGTGAGACCACAGTCATGTTCTGAAAGACAAAGGCCAGGGAGGCATCAGTGTCCTCTGTAGTGAACTTCAAGAAAAGCAGTAACTTCTTTCCCTTCCTTCTTCCACGCCTGGGGTAGACCCTCTCTCATGGATGCTGGGCTTGGTCACATGACTTTCTTTGGCTAAGGAGATGATAGCAATGGGGATATAAACAGAGGCCTGTGAAGTGTTTGCCTACAGGGGCTTGATCTTTCTTGCTACTCGTTGGAACAGAAAGCAGTCAGGGCTGACTTGATGAATAGTGAGGTTTTTTTTTTCCTGTTCACAGCCAGTTTGCCAACTGTCAGACACACACACAACCACTAGGTATCTCAGCAACCAACTGTCGACTCCGTAATGCCAGCAGATCAGAATTGTCTGCAAGGTCAGAGGAGCATGAGCTGAATGCCTGTTGTGTGAGCTATTACATTTTAGGGCTGTATTTTCTGAAGTTACCAATGATAAATGATATTTATAGCAAATTTTAGAACTAACAACAAATGTCAAATTAGGGTTAGACCCACACAGACAGGACTGTGTCTGCACAACCCTGTGCTAAGTAAGACTGTGTATGTGTTTATGGATATGTGCACAAGTGCATGGGGGCATGTGTGACTGTATGTACACATGTGTATGGAGGTCAGAGATTGACGCTGTGTGTCTTACTCAGCTGTTCTCCACTTTATTTTTGAGACAGGGTCTCTCACTGAATCACTGGAGCTCAGTGATTGGTTTGATTGGCTGGCCATATTGGCTGGCCAGCGAGCTCCATCTACCTGTCTTTGCCTCACCTTCCGTGACCCCCAGCGCTATAGAGCCTGCCTTTTGATATGAGTGCTAGGGAACATGAACTCAGGTCCTCATGCTTGTAAGGCCAGCACTTTACTGACTGAACCATGTATCCAGCCTTTAGTGAGGCCCCTTGGCTACACTGAAAAGCGTCTAAAAATCTTATGGGCTCGGTTCTGGAGAGATCTGATCCCAAAGTAGGTGCTGGTAGATTTTGAGAGAGGTCTGTCTAGAACATAACTAACGATGAGGCTTTTGTAGGGTTGAAAAAGCCATAATCTGGTGCATAAAATGTCCCCAGAGATTCTGAGGGACTTGTGTTAGCAAAAAGACCACTAAATTTGAACTGATGTTACTCAAAGTGAAAATATTAGATAACTGCCCACCTTTCCAAAGATGGAAAAGATGGGCCCCTTCTTATGAGAAAGGGAAAGTGCTGTTGATAGTAGAGCCAAGAGACCCCAGAGAACAGTGGGTTAGGGAGACTCACACATCCAGGAAGCAGTACAAAATAACGACCCGTCCTTCCTCAAATCTGAACTGATTCCTAACCAAGCAATACGTGCTTCTTAGGATTACATTAAAAAATATTTTGTGTGTATGGGTGTACACTTGTATGAATGTACACTATATGTGTGCCCGGTGCCCTGCAGAGTGCAGAAGAGGGCACCAGATCCCCTGAAACTGGAGTTACAGACACTTGTGAGTCGACATGTGGGTGCTGGGAATAGAACCTGGGTCCTCCAGAAGATCAGTCAGTACTCTTAACCACTGAGCCATGTCTCTAGACTCCTTCATAGGGTTTTAGAATTTTATGGAGCAGTGACTGTCCTGGGCCTCTTATAAGGTCTTTTTCTATTGAATAAGAGAGTATATTTGAGTTATCTGGTTCTTGTCTCACTAGACTCTGTTGTATATGTTAATGGAACTTGTTTTTATTATTATTGTCATTTTTTTGAGACAGATTCTCATGTATTCCAGGTTGGCCTCAAACTTGCTAAGTAAGGATGACATTGAACTTCTGATTCTCCTGCCTTTTCCTCCCAAGTTCTGGTATTACAGGCATACACTACTATGCCTGGTTCATGCAATGCTGGTGGTCAAATCCAAGACTTCCTGTATGCCAACCGAACTCTCAGCCTTTCATTTTCAGCCCCAAAGTTGTTTTTGGTCTCTAGGTTGCTGTGTCAAGAAGATCCATATGACAAAACAGGATCCTGGACTTCAAGCATGGTGATAGATTTGGGTGGGGTGCTTAGGATTTCTGGGATGGGGATAAACATGGTTTGCTTTTTTTGTTTTTGTTTTTAGAAGTGTTAATAACTTGATGGAACCCCCCCCCAAGTCCTCCTATTTTCCTATTTATTCCTCTTAGTTGACTTTGTAGCTTTTTTTCCTAGAGCCAGAGCTGTTTCTCTGCTCACAGACTGTAAGTTTGGTTACCTGAGTGACTTTGGTCATGGGACATCAGCAAGCAGGGTACAAGCAAGGACTAGAGTGCTTGTCTGTAAGGGATTACATGTCTTGCTGTGCTGGAATCCAGCTGCCTTGTGAAGAAACTCAAGCTGGCATACTGGAGGATGAGCTAACACAGGAGAGATGAGCTGGCCCACTAAGAGACCTGAACACCAGCCTTCCTGAAGCCCATTGGGCAGCTGGCTGCAGTTAAAGAGCAAGTCCATCTGAGACCAATTGAGGAGCAAATCATGTATCACCATACAAATGGATGATACTCAGAACCAAGAACCAAGTGAATCAGTGGTTCTCAACCTAATGCTGTGACCTTTAATACAGTTCCTTGTGTTGTGGTGACCTCCTAACCATAAAATTATTTCGTTGCTACTTCATAACTATAATTTTGCTACCATTAAGAATTGTAATGCAAATATCTGTTATGTGACCCCCATAGGGGCTATGACACACAGGTTGAGAACTGCTGAAGTAAATGCTTAGTGGTTTAAGGTACTTGGTTTTGGGGTAGTTTGTTATGCAGCAAAACTTACCTGATACACCCTTTCAGCCCTCACTTTTCTCAAACTCTTAGTCATCTCTTGCTAAACCTCCCTGGAGTCGGCTCTGATTCATGGAATAAAGCCCAATACTCACCTCAAAATGGGTCCAGCATGTAGCCTGGCACCCAAAATGAGAGACCACACAGGTGATGATGAATTCCAGGAGGGCGAAGGGGAGGAGACCCCCAATGATTGCCTTCAGACAATCCTAGGGGCAGAGAGGAAATGGGAGCATTTCAGGCTTCATGGTTGACTGGATGGCAGCTGCCCTAAAGTAAATGCCATATGCCTTATCTGGAGTCCTGGAGACGCCCCCTGCGTGTGATGTCTTGGCATAGATGCTGCCTTTAAGTTGTACCTTTGCCATATCCCGTCAGTGCACCTCAATTTCCACTGCATTTCTTTATTGTGACTTTTATGGCCTCAGAAGTCCACATTGCTGTTTATACCACAAGCCTGAAGCTCAAACAACCCTCTGGAGAGCAGTCTTCCATTGATGGCTAGTAGGGTTGGTGTGTAAATACCCCTGATTCCCTGCCCTGAGGTCATGCTTACTTCCTCTCTCTACCAAAACTACTTGTCTTAAAGTTTGCTTCTGAGATGACCCCTACCTGTGATGTACCTAACAAGTACCCTGGCTGTGAACCTGTATGAGGGGCTGGGGTCCTTACTGTGAGTTGGTGATGTACCAGTGAGGTAAGGACCATCAGCTCTGCTTGGCTTCTAGCTGTCTTAGCTCAATCTCTGGTCTTGCCTGAATCAGAGCTTTGAAAGCATGGCTGAGCTCAGTGTGCTTCCTGCTGTAGCCCTACCCAGAGTTCATAGGGTTCTAGGAATACTTCTTCTCCTCACTCTTCCCCTTCAGCAGAAGATGGGACCCCAGGGTTTGGTCTCAGGCCCATTGGAATCCTAAATTGATGCTCTACATGATCAGTCTACCTCTTTGTGAGTTTATCTTGTTGCCTGGGGCTGGACTCCAGATGCCAACAAGCTTGCAGGGTTTCTTGCTATGTCCTCTCAAGATGGACTGGGCTTCTTCTGGGGCCTCCTACAGGGAAGCTCTCCTTTTGAGGACAGTCCTCACCACTCTAGATGGGTCTCTTGCTTTGCCAGGTTTCCTTGGTCTGCTTGATTAATCCTGAAGGAGGACCAGGTTGCAGTTTGAGACAAGCAACCATATATCCACCCGAGACAATTTGCCTCTTAATCTCAGAGTCCTCTCTGTGGTGTGACGTACACTGTGGTTGTTTTAGCAGTTGCAGGGCTTTGGAAGAAGTGATGTAATTTATGGATCATATTAGGATGGAATTCTGTTGCAATTCCTCCCTACTCAAGAAACAGCTGTGTAAACTCTCCTGATCCTAAAGGAGCTTTGGGATGAATCAGTTGTAATGCTCACCGTTAGCAGAACAACACCAGAGTTGTAAATACTCAGATCTACAATGATAACGATGATACCAACAAGGGAGAAGATGGAGCTGACGATATTCATGCCGATGCTGGCATTCACCTGAAGGACATAAAGGGAGGGGAATGGTTAGCAAAGGTCAAAGCTCAGCATTTGGGAAGACTCTGGACAAGAGGAGCAGGGCAGAAAGGAGAGGGCCAGGATGGTTGGGGGCAGAAGTCTGTTAGTTTACCCCAGGCTAGTGAGATAATGATTATTCATGCTGTGTTTCTTCAGGGCAGGAACCACCCACTGGTATAAATGGAAGTTTCTGTTAGTCCCAGTCAGCAGCAGTTTAAAGCACACATATGCTTATAATAATTATAAACTGTTTGGCCAATGGCTCAGGCTTCTTATTGACTAGCTCTCTCTTAATTATTAACTCATTTCTATTAATCTGTGTATCTCTGGTGATGCCTGGATCTCTTGCTTCCTTGGCAATTACATGGTGTCTCATTGACTCCACCTACTACCTTTCTCTGTCCCTGTTTGGATTTCCCACCTGCCTAAATATTGCCTGTCCACTGGCCAAAACAGCTTTATTCATCAACCAATAAGAGAAACATACATTCACAGCATACAGAAGGACATCCCTCGTCACTTTGGGAGAGTATCAACACCTGGCTAAGCAGCTGAGGGAGACAATGAGATTTGGAAGGCTGTTTGGAGGTTGCTGGCCTGCTGTGCAGAAGAAAGAAGCAGGGATGCCAAGCTTGCCCTGAGAAGAGGCCTAAGAATGCTGAGGGTGAGCCTGGGGCTGGAGCCTGGGTTGGCAAGCTTGTCTGGGGAAGATTTTCAGATATGAGGGCTCTGCTTCCCCTCGCTGAGACGTCAACAGGCTTTGTTTACTGCCTGTCTCTACTCAGGCTGCTCCCTTTAGTGGAGTTCTGGGGAAGAAAATAAAGAAGAGTTAACATGTCACATCTGGGCTGAGTCTGAGGCAGCTGCCAGACATAGAAAGTGAAGCAGAGATTTCAGTTAGAAGTCAGACAGCCCAGCAAGACAGAGTCCGGAGAGGCCCAGGAATGTCACAGCCCTTGCTTGCAAGGGCATTGTGTTTCCCGGAGGGAGGGTGTGGGCAGTGTTTGGCCAGTCGTGTTGGGATATTAAAGGACAATGGGAGGTTACTTGATGTTGGGGAGCAGAAATTTGCCTTGCAGATCAGGGATTAGAAATCAGGAACCGCTTTAGTGAATCCCCCTGCCTTCATCTACCACTTTCCTTAAGAGACAGAAGCCATGCAGAGAAAGGAAGGGGAAGGAGGTCCTGGCACCAGCTCTGCATTTCTGCTGAGGCTCCAGAAGGTTGCAGCACAGGTCCGAAGACCAGGTTCTTCTCTGCCTGTTTAGCTGAGGAATGCCACTTCAAGGGTAATGGGGGACTGAGGGGCCTATGCCGTATGGTTGGGGCTACAATTGTTCCAGAAGTACTTGTTTAGGTCCAGCTAATGAAAAACATAGGAAATGCCTTGAGGAGATGGCTGAAATACATGCTCATCTCCATCTGGCCCAGGTCTGGCTTTCTGTTTAATGCAGAACACCCCCAGGGTATTGCACAGCAAAATATCATGACTTCTCCAAATTGCTAATTGCTTTTTGTTTGTTTGTTTTGTTTTGAGACCTGATTCAATATGTAGCAGTAGCACATGTGATGGGTTTCAGCAAAGCCTTGGAACCAGAGAATTCTGAACTCAAATCCCAGTTCTGTTACATATTCACTCTGTGATTTGATGCAAAACCTGACCTTTTTCTTGTGACAGAGCAAAAGTTCCTCCATTTTGTCTCAACTGGAGCCATCTTTATTTCAACCTGAAATCACCCCACCCCTATCATGGGAAGTCCTTTGGAAAGCACCCAGGCTTGTTCTAGAAACTTGGTCTTGGTGCTTATAAAAGTCCAGGCCTCTCTAATACCCTGACTAAATTTCTTTCAAAAAGTGTTATTTGGCCTGTCATCTCCGAAGGTAACTCTAGTTAAGGGGCCTTCAGTTTAGGACACAAAAGAAAGACTGGGCATGGCTGATGATCCAGTGTCTGGGATCTGTGTGACATGTCCCTGGAGTCCCCTAGTCTGTTCAGGTGTGTGAATGTGTGGTGACCACCTTGGTTGTCTTTACTATGTGTCTCTCTCTGTGTTTATGCATTTCTGTCATTTCTATTTCCCTGTATCGATCAGTAGCTTTCTCTGATGTGTGACACCCCCTGATATGGGATGCCTTTTCATACTGTAATATGCATTGCTTTTATAGGTTGATGAATAAAGCTGTTTGGGCCAATGGACAGGCAAAATATAGCTAGACAGGAATTCCAAGCAAAGATGAGAGAGAAGGAAGGCAGAGTTGAGGATATACCATGTAGCCGCTGAAGAAGTAACATGCTGGAGCGTCACCAGGAAGCCACAGCCTCGTGACAATACACAGATTAATAGAAATGAGTTAGTTTAATTGTGAGAGCTAGTCAATAAGAAGCCTGAGACATTGGCCAAACAATTGTAATTGATATTACTAAGGCTCAGAGGGTTATTTTATAAGTGGCTATGGGGACCTGCGAGTGGGAAAGAAACCAGGTCCAGGGGGACTGGGTAGAACACATAAAAGCTTTTTCACTGCAACTCCCATCCCCCTGCCCCCACCCCAGGTTATGGGCAGAAACCAAGCTCCCAGGACTGGTTCAACATGGTCCACCTAACCAGTTCAGCTACCTCCATCCAGATGTTTAATCTGGTATTGGGTATTGGGTATTGTTTAAATACCCAATGAATAACCCTGGAAGCAAAAAGGGAAATTGCAGTCCATATTGCCCGACTTAGAGATACAGGCTTCCTGGTGCCCGTCTGTCACCCTGGAATATGTTGCTCGCTCCTGCCTGTGAAGAAACCCGGGACCTTTGATTATGGATTCATCTAGGAACTGAGGAAAGGGCTAAGAAGGTCAAGACTATCTATCCCACAATCATAAAACATACACTGTCATGAGTCTGATTCTTCTGGAGAAACAGGTGTATGCTATGTTGGACCTGAAAGATACACCCATTGGCTGAGGTAAGGTGACAGTGGGCAGCTTACCTGGACCAGGTTGCCCCAAGGATTTAGAAGTTCTTCAACCCTGTTTGGTGAGACACTATATGACCTTCTGTCAGAGGTTTCCTGGGACCATGTTTTTATAATATGGTTATGACTTCCTCCTAGCCTCTAAACAAATAAACCTAAGATATATTGTAAAAGGGCCACTGGAGGACTGCTGCAAGAGGTACAGACTGTGGGATACGTCAGAGACTACCTATCTTGGCTACCTGCTGGGGGGAAGCAGAAGGAACCTGTCTCAGAGTGGGATTGCTGCCATCCTTCTGATTTCAAGTCTAAAAACGAAGAGACAGATTTGAGTGTTCCTATACGTTGCTGCCCCTGGATACCAGGGCTTGAAGAAATGGCATGGCTTCTATACGCCAGAACAGGGGTGCACTGTGTCCCTAATCTGGACCGAACGGCAGGCATTTGAGGCTTTAAAAAACAGCCCTGACTTCGGTTCCATCCCTAGTACTTCCGCATGTTTCAAAACCTTTTCATCTGTCTGTCCAGGAAACAGAAAAAGCATTGCAAAGGGGGTTTTAATTCAAACTTTGGGGCCATGGAAATGCCCTTGACATACCTGTCCAAATGATTAGACCTTGTAGTCCCAGGATGGACCATCTGTCTAAGAGCTACGGTGGTTACTGCTAGTCTAATGAAACCAAGCAAGCAAGTTAGCTCTGGTAGACTCACAGCACCCCACACAGCTGAGGCCCTCCTGTGAGGGACTCCAGAACTCTGGTTGGCTCATGCCTGTGTGAACCAATACCAAGTCCCTCTCCTGGACCATGCCCGAGTCTGGTTCGGAAAATCTGGCACCATCAATCCTGCCCTTCTCTTGACTGATAATGACTAGCAGGTGTGTACCCATGGCTGCCTCGAGGTGATAGGCTCCTGAAAGGTCTTGATGCAGTGCTCTACCCAGTTGGGAGTAGCTTAACTAAAGATGAAGCCAGGTACATAGGGGTTGCAGTAATTACTTTAAATGAAATTATCTGGGCTCAAATCAGGTACCTCAGCCCAGAGGGCAGAACTGGCCAATCTGCTTTTACTACCACACATGCTCACATATGAGTGGCAGAGAAAGAGGGCTTCTCACCACCAGGGGAGAGGACAGTGAAAACAAAGTAAAACAATTTTGGTCCTCCTAGAGATTATGTGGCTTCCCCTATGAGTTGCTGTCCTCCACTGCCAAGGACATCAAAAAGATGACTTCCAGCCGGGCGTTGGTGGCATACACCTTTAATCTCAGCACTTGGGAGGCAGAGGCATGTGAATATCTGTGAGTTCCAGGATATCCTCCAAAGCAATACTGAGAAACCCAGTCTCAACCCCCCCCCCAAAAAAAGATGACTCCCATGAGGCAAGAGGTAACTGGGCCACTGACTTGCCTGCCTGCCAGAAAAATGATTCCAAGACCCGTTGGAGTCTATTCATACTCTGTTAAATTTTGGTGATATACCTTGACCTGAGATGCAGTGGTGCAACTGAGAGGAAATAATGATGAAAATAATAGACCCACACATTGGTGGAGGACACCAGAGGGAAAGATCTTCTTCCAGAAATAACTAGCAGGACTCTGGTAACTGACCTTCATCAGGCTACTCATGTAGGGTTCATAAAACTTGGAGTTGCTCAGACCAAGGTATGTTATACCTAGACTGGGAAGCCTGGCATGGGATATCTCAGCCAGATGCCAGGATTGTGCTCAAGCAAATAAAAAACTGAGAGCCATTATTCAGGAAGGGGTCCAAATGAGAGGCCAACACCCCAGAGAACTCTGGGAAAACTGACTTCACAGAGATCTGGCCTGCAAGGGGAAGATAGAAGTACATGCTAGTTTTTATACACATCTTTTCCAAGTGCGTAAAAGTGTTCCTCACCTAGACTAAAACTGCTCAAATAGTAGCTAAAAAGCTCCCCTAGGAACTGGTCTCCCAATTTGGCCTCTCTCTAGCAATGAGGTTTGACAATGGCCCAGCTTTATTAACCAAAATCTCCTAATTAATACCTAAAGCTTTAGGCACAGTTTGGAAACATCATTGGGCCTATAAACCCCATAATTCTGGGCAGGTAAAATGAATGAACAGGATATTAAAAAAAAACAACCAAAACCCTAACCAAACCCTCATTATATAATCGATTGAAGGGTAGACAGATCTACTTCCTTTGTTTTGTTTTGAGTTTGGGGCTCACTACACCACATATGGGGAGGGATTCACTACCTATGAAACTATGTTTGGAAGAATTTCCTAACTGCTTCCCCAGCTCCGAGAACAGCAGTTGGAAGAACTCTCTAACCATTCCTTTCTCAAGTCACTACAGGTTCTCCAGTCCTTCATAAAGGCTATCTATTGGACTCTCTGGGAGATCCAGCTGACCTCCAAGTCCACCAACACCTTCCTCTTGTTCAAGCCCAGGGATACTGTCTGGGTCAAACAGATAGCCAAAGGGGAGCTGGAACCAGCTTGGAAAGACCTCTACACACTGATTCTCTCCACTTCTATGGCAATGGAGGTAGCTGACATTATACCACAGATCCACCAGACCCAGGTCAAGAAAGCAGAAGCCACTAATGATGATGCCAAATGGACTGTCTCCAGAGTATGGACCCATTAAAATTAGGGTTTCACTGGGCATTGGCCCTTGTACTCCCTGCCTCTTTGTCTCCTCCTAAGACTTGTGTACAGGGTCATGGCCCAACCCCCACCAGGTCCAGATGTGGGAACCAAGGAGAAAGACATATATAGGAGAGGTGATAGCTAACCATATTCCATCTTGACCACTGATCACTGATGCTCACTTTAAGTGTCTGATAGTATTGGAAAAAAGATGTGAGATAGGAATGTAGAGTTTACAGTTCTATGCATGTCCTGAGGCTAGGCTCCCTAGTTGCCAAGAACCAGGGAGTTCCCATTGTAAAAATTGAGGTTGTGAAATAGACTGGATTAATAGTGGGGCCCTGCACTGTAAATTTCATGACCGATTATGTAAAATAAAGGATTAACTTAGTCAAATTAATGGTCCTTAGGGCCAACTATACCTCTTTAAGACTCATGGGTCATCAAAGAAATGGCATCGTGACTTACCATGCAACTGCTAGCAGACTTTTCAGACAAGATTGAGAGTGATCCAGAGATGATAAACTATATAGACATAAAAAAGAATGTGTCTTTAAATTGCAAACATCTTGTTTCCCATGCATGTACATCTGTGAGATTCCTGTCGACATTATCACTGTCCCAAACTTTAAGTACTCAGTATTGTGGTACTCGATCCAGACAGGTCTTGTAGGATGCCCTAAGTCATTCATTATTATCACTGTCTGACTGGGTCTCCTCAAGTGCATAGTGGGCTACACCATTGTCCAAACTAATTCACTGCTGACATTGTCCTATCCTTGAATATGATCTTATTCTGGAAGTTAGGGGTAGAGGTGCATAGTGGTCATTGTCCTGAGGTTGGGAGAGAGGACAATGGGGCTCCTGTTGCATGTCTGCTACTAATTCATCTTGCTGCTCCTAGACCAGCCTAGGAGACCTAGTAAGGCCCCTGTTTTCCCACAGTTGGTCTCTGTGAATTACTATTGAAGCTCTTTCCCTCTTTTGACTTTTGCAGTAACAACAGTTCCTACTCCCATTATTTTGTACTACTGAGGATAGAGCCCAAGGCTTTGGATGTTCTGGGCAAATAACTTTACCACTGAGCCACATCCCAGTCCTACATTTCTTTCTTGAGGGATCACTGAGATGAAACACTTCTAAATGGTACTACTCTTGTATAGTCAGAAGGGAGCACTAAACTGGATGGTCTGAAATCTTAAAAAAAGGGTCCCCCTAGATCCTTAAGTTTGGGGGACTGAAACCTAACACTTATCTGAAACCCAAGAACTCAGGAGGGGCCACAAAACCAGTGTGATAGGATAAGAGAATGAACTAAAACTATTATGTGCTCTAACAGTGTCTTCCATAGTAGATGACATGAGAAACTACACAGAAATTCCAGCAGACCTGAAAGTCACTAGAATTAATAAGAAAGTATAGTTATTTCACTAGATAGAAGATCTAAGTCAGATGCCAATTGTTCAGCTGGGGTGGTGGTGCCAAGCAGGCCAATCTCTGTTAGTTCATGGCCAGCCTGGTTTATAGTGAATTGCATGTTAGCCAAGGGCTGCTACCTAGTGAGACCCTGTCTTTAAAAAAAAGTCAACTACATCATCATAAACCACCAACAAACAGTTTGAGGATGTGCTTCAAAAACATACTCATACAAACAAGGAAAAATGATTGGGGAATAATCTAAAACAACATACAAATTAAAAAAACATCACATTTATTCATGTGTGTATATGTGTGGGTGTCATAGCACAGGAAGCTCAGAAAACTACAAGAATAGCCCCTCAGGAGACAGTCTGTCTTTCTGAACGTTTCTCCTAGTCCCTTGGCTTTCATATACACAGTGCAGCACTTGCAAATGTCTGCCACCTGCTGGTGAGGTCTCTTATATGCAGGGGAAGGCCTTGATCATGGCTGTTTATCTGTAATAGCCAGTTTCCTATCACCAAATGTTTGGATAGCTTGCTTAATTAATTCTTGAAAATTTGCAGTTGCTCTTATGAGTGGGAGGCAGATGCTGTGTACAACACGGAACTCTGTGGACTCTGACTTACATGTATTAAGGCATTAAGACAATGTATACCAGGGATTAAAATTGCTCTAAGCTGGAGGGAGAAAAAGACTGAAGCTTGGTGCCAGCCAGAGGAAGAGCTTGCCTCTGCCAACCAGGACTGATTGTAGCTGAGGCAACGATGGGCCAGTGATGACTAGGGCTACACCTTGACCATAACTACTTAGTTATGTGTAGTCCTTATTGGATACTTAAACACCAAAGGTGGATTTGGAGGAGGTTCACTGGATCTCTTTATCTGTTCCTCTTCTCACTGTGGTCGCACAGGGAATAAATCATTTTTATTTTCCTTTTTGCTATGACCTGTCTCTTCAGTTGGCCTGTAAAAGGTGGGTAATGGAGGCTGGCTTGTTAGTGCTGTATAGCCCAGGCTCTGACCCTAAAAACTCTGATGATAATATGAATGTTTGCAGTCAAAACCTTATAGGCAGGAGGGGGGTGTTGCCAGGATGTCTTCAGCCCTCAGCAAAGCCCACAGACTTAGAAGCTGTAAGGGTTACATGACTGGGAGTAGGGCTCAAGAGTCTTTTTACACTCCTGCCCCCTCTGATGATCTAGAAAGAAGGCCACAAGGCCTTGTACTCACAGACAGTCCTCCCCAGATTGGGTATCCTATCAACCCCAACACAAGAGGGGTAGCAAAGTATAGTTGAGGGTTCATTGCAGAGACGATATGAAACATGCCAATGAGGATCTGGATGCCCTGTGGGGAGAGCAGAGAGCAAACTGGTGAGAGAGTGTGTCAGGACCCATAAGGAGGGGTCCATTTTATCTTGCTGAAGGATGTTTTAGCCTTAGTAGGGGATGTCTTTATCTAAAAACAATAGACTTTGGCTCAGGTGTGTTTACTCTTGACCTTGAGGGCCAGGTGGCAGCTGTGGCTACCAATACCTGGAGGATTAAGGGAAGCAAGTCTGTTTGCCCCTACATGATAACAGAAATCTTCTGCCATTGTCCCTGCTTTTGTTTGTGTACTTAAGAATGTTGAAGAATAAACTCGGGAGCTCAGTATTGACTGAATTGTCCTCCTGACATCTATCCTGTGTCTCCCTCTTTTCTTTTAACTCCTTTAGCTAGCCTCTGTTAGTCCACACCCTCCCTCTCAGTTATGAACCATGGGCAAGTCGGCTAGCTCCCGCTACAGCCTCGCAAAACCAGCTTCTCACAAGATTGAAGCTGGGCTGCAGGCTACTGGGCTGTACTTTATCACCCTGGCTGTGCTCCAGAGCCATCTGAGGTATGACTGGTACTGGGGTTCACCTAGACTAACATCTAGTCTAGACTGTTCCTGTTGGGGTCTGTTTCACCTGTGTTTTAGATCTCCACAGGTGGTACCAGGGGGTACCTGGGTAATAGAAAGGGTAAGATGGTTCACAGCAGTTTTCTTTTGAACTTGCATTTCCAAATGCCTTCACATAGTCGGCCACCAGAACTAATACACATCTCAGTGGTATTAAAACAGAATAAAAAGCATAATTCAGAATTACAGTGCCTATGTAACATTACGACATCACCTTCGCACATACAATTAAAGTCTCCCTTGGTCCTTGGGATAGGCATTTGAATTCCTGATATAGTTTTTCAGACTTTAGTCCGAGAGGTGGCTCTGATTAATTGGGGCCACAAACAATGCTCTCTGTTCTTGGCTCAATCTACTTATCTATTTCTGCAGATAGACTAGGAGGGAGAGGTTGGGGTATGTATTAGTCCATTTACTGTTGCTGAAATGAAATACCAAATGCTGGGTAATTTGAAAAAAAAGTCTATTCAGCTCACAGTTTGGGACTGTCAGTTTAAGCTGTATAAGGCTGGCTCTGGTGAGGGCACCCCGACTGTGTCACTAAATGGTAAATAGTATCATGATGAGAGTATATGCAAGAGGGAGAGATTATACAGTGAGACAGAAAGACAGAGGGGTTGGGGCAAGATTCTTCAAGGGCTAGCCCAGTGACTTATACCTCCCGCTAGACCATACCTCTCAGAGGCGCTCTGGCATCCTTCAACATCACCATACTGGAGGCAAAGCTTCTGACATATATGAAACCTTGCAGGGCGTAGCCTAGTCATATCCCCATTAGAGTAGGGTTTTGATGAGTCCCTCTCTTTCCTGAACCCTGCCCTTGTCCTCTCACCTCTAGGAGGGTTGTGACTTCTCAAATGAAGCTAGGCTGTCCGCACTCCTTGAGCAGCAAAGCTGTGCACGTGTCTTCACGGAGATTGCCAAGAAGGCACAGTTACAATAGCTACTACCAAACGCCCCTCCCCCACCTCCCCCTAGTCTTTGAGGACCATGGCTTGGTCATCTCTGAATCTGTCTCCTCAGAGTGTCCTCCATGCTGAGTGAACAAGTGCATTGAGATGGAGAACTTGCAATAAGCAGTCATTCTGTGAGCCAGTCATCTTGCTAGGAGTTGGCTGGCATCTAGCGGAGCATAGGACCAGTCTTGCTTTTACCTCAGAAAAAAAATAGAACTTGAGCTTTTCAAAGTGTCAAATGAAACTAGAGGATGCCAGAAAGAGGCATGAAAACCCTTGGTGGAAGAGGAAGTCAGTAACCTCAGAGCTTGTGGGAGCTAGCTTACTAGAGAGGTAGTCGCTGAGGCTCTAAGAAGCCTGCATCACTCACCCCGGTCAATGGTCTTTCTAGTGAAACTGCCGTTGACCCTCGCCCTGATAGCTAGGAAAGGGATAGCTGGTCAATTTTATAGCCTTCCTAAGAGCCTATAGAATGAAATTGGGATCAGAGGAATACAGGGTGGGACTGCCATTTGTGGGCTTGTCCCAGACCTAGCCTTTAGAGGCTGCTACCCTCCTTTGCCCTATGAGCCCAGGGGGACCAGAAATGGGCTTACAAAGCGGGAGAGATGATATCATACTCACCCCTAATGTTCTGACCTCTTTATTTATGAATTTCTTGGGATCAAATCCAGGAAAGGGCATAAAGGATATGTTCCACTGAGGATTGCTTGAGGTCTGTGTTGGTCCCGGGACAGTGTTCAGGGGATTCTGAGGGTCTCCAGGCAGGACCTGGATACTTGTTATTTCTGGTGAGTACTGGATCACTCCTGGTGGAGGCTGCACACCAGCCATTCCCACTGGATACTGTAGCACAGTGGGCTGGGCCTGCAGGCCTGTCATTCCAGCTGGATTCTGGATTACAATGTGTGGGCTCTGTAAGTTTGCACTCCCTGTGTTGTAATGGAGCACGGTTGCTGATGCTGGGTAAGCAGTCATTTCCAAAGGTTTCTCTTGGCTTCCAGAGGCTACAGCATGTGTAGGCTGGATGACGTGGCCATTACCTGGGACAGTAACAGCAGAAACGCTCTCCTGTTTGATCATGATGTAGAGCTTCTACAAAACACACAAGATACAATTTTCACTGATAAATCAACAATCCTTCTACCCCCCCTTATGTCTGTCATTGTCTTCACAAAAATGCAAGCCCGCTGCACAATGTTTGTTCCCTGGGAATCCATGTTATGGGGATACAATTTTCAAATGATCTGGGCCTACTTGAAAATCTAGGTCTCTAAATTTTTTTAATTTAATTTTTTTATGTGTATGGGTTTTGCCTTCATGTATGTCTGTATGCCATAAATGTGTCTGGAGCCTGAAGAAGATAGAAGAGGTTACAGATGGTTGTGAGCTGTCTTGTGGGTGCTGAGAATTGAACCACGTGGACACTTTGTTGGCATCTGTTTCAACTGCTATTATAGGGTACTGGGGAGTTGGAGGGTGGCCTAACCCTTACTAGCTATGTTTTAACTTCTGTGCCTGTCAGGTGACACAAACCATGAATGTTCAGCTTTGGGAACATACTGTCTCAAGCACCATGTGCCACTTCTCCTTAAACTTTTAGCATTTGTTGCTTTCTCCCAGGAACTCCAAGTTTTCAAGGGAGACGGCAAATAGCAACAACTGTAGTACCTATAGATGCTTATGTCCCACAGTCCTAGAGATATGAAGCATGTACTATTACTATGGATATTTTGCAGATGAACTGAGAGTTACAGAAATTAGCTAGCCTGAACATAGTCTTGCGGAAAATGCTGAGGCTGAGGTCTGTTTTTGAGACAGGAGTCTCATGAAGCTCCGGCTATCCTTGAACTTGGTATATAGCTAAGGATCCTCCTGCCTCCATCTCCCAAGTGTTGGGTCTACAGTCATTCACTACCATGAGCAGTTTACATGGAGCTGAGAGTGTGTGTGTCAAACCCAGAGCTTTGTGTAGCCCAGGCAGACATTCTGCTAATGGGGCTGTAGCCCTAGCCTGAAATTGAGATACAAATGGTTTGGATAAAACATCTGTCTGTCTCTCTTTCAAAGTAAATGCTATGCTGAATCTATTCTCTGTTCCATGCTGTGGGAAAACAGGTTAGCTCTATTCCTCCCCCCCCCACTTTTTTCCAGAGAAGGTTCCTAGATATTCAGTGTGTGAAGGACAGTATCATTAAAGACATGGCAATTGACACAGATAACTAAGCCCTGGGCTGTGCTGCAGAAGACCTGATAGGAAAACGTATGAACAAAAGAGGTTGTTCTTGGACGAGGATGAGATCCTAAACAAACCCAACCATGAAGCATTTAACAGATGAACCCAGAGAAAGGTCAGCCAGAAAGTGCACCCCCCCCCAATGTCCAGCCTTCTTTCCTGGGATTGCTTTGGGTAGAGGGGAAACATCTCTAGGAACCTGTTCTGACTCTTCAGCAGCCTGCTAGGTGGCTGAGCAGCAATAGTCTCCAAGGTTGGGTTGTTGTGAGCTCCCACCATGTTCTGGCACACTGTCTATAGGGGACCTCTGACTGCTGCAGCTCCTAAAGGATCTTTTCAGGGCTTGTCCAGGTCTTGGGTCCCTTTTGACAGTGTTCTGTCAAGACCCTGTGAAGGAGTGCCCAGAAGTCTTACCTTGAGTCCAGGCAAGTCTGTCTTCCTCGGGCTCTGGCAGTTTCTGCAGCTTCTTTGGAAATTTAAAACACAGGGAAGAAATTTTAGGTTTCTCTTTCAGGCTCCAAAGTCCTCCTTGCAGTTTCACCGAGAGCCAATGAATAAAACATTAGGCTCCCACCTGGAGTTTATCTGCCCCTCAGAGTATTTATGGCTTTGTCCAGCATAGGATTCTGTGGGAGCATTCCTTCCAAAGTCTGACTTTGAGAAAGTGTCACATGCGGAATGTCAGAATGATTGCTTTTGGAGATAGGAACCTTATAAAAAGGAATTAAGTTACAATAAGTGATGGGACCTGAACTGGCATGAATGGTGTCTTTACAAAAAGCAGATGTATGTCATGCCAGCAGCCATGAGTCCAAGGCATGGTGTCTGTGTGTGTGTGTGTGTGTGTGTGTGTGTGTGTGTGTGTGTGTGTGTGTGTAGAAGTAGTCACTGGACCAGAACTGGTATAAATGTTTTAATAATGAATATACACTGTGGATGGAAACATGGAGGAAGGGAGGGAGAGGAGAGAAAGAGAAGGTGGGGAGGCAGAGGGTGAAGGAGACAGGGAGAAGGAGAGAGAACAAATTACACCCCTCTTGGGGAATGGCCCCTTTTCATGACAGTTTGGAGGAGTTATTTGGCCTTGCCTTAGATTGTTTGTGTGGTGTTGCATTGGAAGAAGTTGTAGGTTGGCAGATAACTGTCTTGTTGAGTAGTAATTTTATATCACACCACTCATCTTTCCCAAGACCAGCCATGTGGGTAAGGCACCAGGTCTCTTGAGGAGTTAGGCTGAAGTTATTTGTTGAAGACATCCCAAGCCTGGGCAGGCTCCAGGAAGCTAGTACCTGCTTGTTGGAGTAGGGGATTTTGATTTTTGACCTTTTAGCTTTTTACCTTTTCTATTCTTTTCAGTTATAGTTTTTCCCCTAGACAATATATTTTGGTCATGTTTTTTTTGTCTTACAATCCCTCCCAGACCTTCCCCACCTCCATATCTATCCAACTTTATATTATTTCTCTCTCTCTCTTAAAAGAAAACAAACATATTCACAAAAAGGAAAAACAAATATATATAAGCAAAGGACCAATAAGATAATAAATGCCTCAACAAAGCAAAATGAGACAAAAAGTACAAAAATACAACTGAGTTTGTCTTGTGTTGGCCAACTACTCCTGGGCATGGGGCCTACCCTGAAATGTGGTTAATACACCCAGTGAGATGCCACTGGAGAAAATTGGTTTTTCCTTTGCCAGTGAGTATCAGTTGCAGATAGGTTATTGGTTGGGGCTGGGAGCCTCTGTCCACTTACTCCCTCAGTGCTAGGACCACCATCTGGGTTAAATCTATTGTCAGGTATTGTGGAAATATTAAGCTACACAAAGTAGGGATGCCCTATGATATTTTATTGAGGGAAAAGTCACTTAAATGAGAAGCCAAGAAAGCTGAGAACCAAAGGTCAACATGCTGCTCTCCAGGACACAGCCAGAACCCAAAGAGAGAGCGCCTCCTTCCCCCCAGCTCTTTTGTCCCCTCCCGATTCATTCTACATACCTGTGACCATGCCCAAACAGGCATGGTCAGCGCTATGGGTATGTAAGATCTCTCCATACAATTCCCTTTTTTGTCTAAAGAAAAGATTTGGACTTAAAACAAAACTGAATTGTCTCAAACATATATAAAGCATATATACATAGACAATGATAAACAAATTATAATCTACCTATATCCTATCCTAAGCATATCTATCCCATCTAAACCTTAAGCTTATCTGAAAGAGATGCCCAAGTCTGAATACCTTCCGATCCCAACCCTAAATAATTGAAAACTAACTCTAACAGGTGTAAATTATCCTGTAATATCAACACTAGGAAAAGGGGGCATAGTATTCTCAGAATTACTTCCTGCTGAAATGGGATGACAATAACCAAATGGGATTCTGTATGAAGAAAATATTAGTGTAGTGAAAGTCTTAAGTGGACTAGCTGCAACATTTGTACCCAGTCTCTATTTGGAGGGAGATGCTTGATTGAAATTCTTGATTGAAGTTCTTATCTTGTCTGAGGCTCTGGATAGAGTGTATTAAGAAGGTGCACCATATCAGTCTGGAGTTGTCTAGAGAGACATAGTCCCAAATCTGTTTCAGGGTCATAATTGTCAGTTCAGATGCATCAAGTTGGATCAGGTGGAATCGATGAAGTGGGGGCCCATTTTCTTTCCAGAGTGTTTGAAGATTGCTGTTAGGAAATTATTTGTTCTCTATGGAAAACTCAAATGTTAATGTCAACAAGGAAATTTCAACTTTTATATGTATGCATACTGGGAAAGGCAACAATAAGGAAGATAGTAAATATGAGGGAAATTAGACTTGCAGAGAAAGAACCAAGTATAAACAGATGGCAGTCCCTAGATTTTATTTTCTTCTGTCTTACATCAATTGGCTCCTTGATAGAATACAGAAACTCAAATTTTACTTTAACAACATGCTTGAATTTAGAGGAGGAGAGCCAAATCCAACCCCGAAGCCAGCCTTGGTTTAAGTGAATTGGGAACAAAAGAATGTTAGGAAAAAAAGAGAAATAGATTTTATAAGGATGTAAATTAAGAGAATTAGACATTGATATCAAATATCAGATTCTTTTCTGTTTGAAGGATCTTTTGGCTAGCCATCCTCTCTTCTTTAGGTATCCACACGTTTAGTGTCTTCTCACTGTTTGGAGAAGGGTTTTCCTGTGAAGACAAGAACAAAGCACTTTCCTTTCCTTTTGTGAGGTCTCCATGTACCTCATGGAATATGACTTTGTGGATGAGCTGTCATCTTTCCTCCTCCCGAGGTGTCTCTTGTTTGGATCTAATCTTGATCAATTTTGATGGAATCCAAAGCTTTTCTTCTCCTGTGGAAACAAAGGTGAAACCCCTCCTCCAACATAACACATATCCTGATTTCCAAACTGAGGTCATTACATCTTTGAAATATATTGGCTGATTTAGTTCAGAAGTTTTTTTCTGTAGTCTGATGTCTTTCTGCAGCTGTTTGTCCTTTCTCTTTAGCATTAAGAAAGTTTAATATTAATAAAGCATTATGTAATCTGTGTTTGGGGGTCTTTGTTCCCCCTGGCTGTTTATGGAGCATTGCTTTTAATGTGTGGTTAGATCTCTCAACCACTGCTTGTCCTGTAGGATTGTAAGGTATGCCAGTTTGTTTTTTATGTTATAACATTTGAAAAACTGTTCCAATTTGATGGAGACATATGTAGTGCCTTACATTATTTTTTCTACCACCAAGAGCTTGTTTATGATCCATATCTGATACAGGAGGAATGTTAATCTGGGTATCCCAATGTTGCAATAGATCACAACCCCAGAGATTTATAGAGATGCCTGCAACACATGGCTGCAGTCTTCCTCTTTGTCCTTCTGGACCTGTATAGTCAACCCATCTTGTTCTTTGTTTTACTTGTGATAGGGCTCCAATCCCTAAGAATTGAACATTTACTTCGTGTAGGGGCCATATGGAAGGCCAGGATTTTTGGGTCATGATGGTGACATTAGTTTCAGTGTCCACAAGGCCAATAATGACATTATTTACTGTAACTGGTAATTTGGGTCTGTGACCCTGTATAGAAGTTTGCCAAAATATATGTTTTTTTCCCTCCAATTACAATTGGTTCATCATCAGTAGCTAATCTATCATCCAGAGTGGTATTATTCTTTACAATAGGTAATGGATCTTCTAATCATTCTGAGAGAGATTGTCCTTCACAGTGACTGGGAATGACTGGACCACTTTTGACATGGGGGCCTCTTGAAGGCCTCACCAAGGCCCCCAATGAGTTTCCAGATTTTAAAGGGTTACCTTGTCTGTTTGTGGTTGACCTGCATTCATTGGTCCAGTGTCAGCCTTTGTCACATCTCCTACATAATCTAGAAGGTTGAGGCCTTCTGTTTGAATCATTCCTAGGAGGAACATTATCTCTATGAATGCTTTGTCTAAAATTTCTTCTCAGATGTCCTATTCTGCCACAGTTAAAACATCTGGTATTTCAATGTCTTTTTAAACCTCTAAAGTTTGCTTCTCCTACCCAAGTATCTGTATCCTCATGGTTAAGGTATTTGGCATATTGGTACCTTCAGAAATTGCCTCTCCTACCCAAGCTTCTGTATCTTGATACTTATATCCGATATTAGCTGTATACAAGACCCATTCATCCAATGGTGCTGATCTGATTTTTAATGGCCAAAGTACCTGCTTGCATTGTGGATTTGTATTCTCATAAGATAGAGATTCTATAATCTGAGTCAATTACCTGTAATTCTACTGCTCTGGACAGTATTTCCAAAAATTCAGTTCACTTTTCTCTTGGACCCTGTACCACCTTGATATAAAGTTCTATTTTCTTTCTTGGCTCATGAACCTTATTTAAAGCATTCAGAGCTGCTGTACAGCATAAGGACAAGATGTGTTCATCATACGCAGCCTGAACCTGTGGGTCAGCCTAAGCATCCTCACCAAGAATCATATCTTGGGGAGCTTCATAATCTTTCTTGAGGCCTTGAAGCTTGAGGGCTTTTGCTTCCTCCCTCCATAAAGCCCTCCATTGCATTTGAGATGAATTTTCTAGCACCACTGAGATGAATTGACTCCAATTCTTTGGGATCACCCTATTCACACTCACCCAAGAATTCAGTAACTCCCTGACATAAGGGGAGTGAATACCATAAGAAACAATGCTTGTTTGATTCCCTTCAAGTCCTTCATCTGTATTGGTTCCCACTGATAAGCAACAAAACCATTCGGATGTTTCTTTGTTGTTGGTTTTTTAGTCATGGATACTGGGATGATCATAGGAGATGGCATAACGACCTTAGGAAGATCTTTCCAGCATCTGAGAGGTGTAGGTAAACCTCTGTCATGACCGGTTGCTAGTACTTCTGATTCTGATGTGTCAGATTGGAGATCATCTAAGACCTGCAGTCTATTGACCATTGTTTCTCTGAGTACTTGAACTTCCTGGGTCAAAAAAATTTCTAAGGACTTCATAGAGCCTGTCAGTTTCTTGGATTCATCATTTATTCATAATTCCAAGCTTTTAATATTCTCGTCCTTAGATATTACCTGAATGG